CTTTGGAATTTTAATCCGTGGATTAGCTTACGCCTGGCGTAAGCCACGCCAGTCTTACGCCGTGTGTGTGAACATAGCCTAAATCTAAGTAATTTAACAATGTTTATTGCCTTTGAATAATTGTGAGAAGCCAACCAACATAAACAATTTATAATCCAATTCCATGTATACTTAATGTATATTATTTTTTAGATATTATATTATAAACCCAACAGTTAAAAAATAATTATTTCTTTTCATTGTGTATTTATTAGTATACTGTAATTTAAAAACAATGTTTGTTTCAGACTTCTGAAGTGAGTGGCTTATGCCAAGGTAGAACATGTTACATGTAATTAATTAAACAATGTTGGGGTGGGTTTATATCTGGGATTTGCTTTTATCTAAGGAATTACGATTGTAAGTAGGTAATAAATTGGTAGTTCGTGAAACAATGAAGTTCTTGAACCGTTTATCTTGAATATGATATAAATTGGGCACACACAATTCATCATGAGGGTTGTGCGACCATCGGCTGACGAATTCATCCCTGTTCTCTTTGAAAGCTTGACGATGTCACATTTTGTTCTTCGTGAAAATCGTGTCGGCTTACAACCACCGGTGAAATGTGTGTCTGTCTGAAATCATTAGATTATGGTATAGCACAAAAAAGCAACTCAAATCTTTTCTGAATACAATGTCTCATTTGTTAATAATGTTTTTTTTTTAATTAGGCGCCGAGGCACCCTCCGGAGAGAGGGTATTTCGAGCCAGGGAAAATGCAATGGACAAACGTCGACTGGCCGTCAGAGGCAAGAGGGTACGTCAAGTCAACGGCCACAAATTTATGTCAACGTTTTTACGACAACCCACATTCTGTTCACACTGTAGAGAATTTATATGGTATGTATCAATGACTTTTATTTCAAGTATTAAAAATGTGAGTCATTCTCGTAGCAAAACGTAATGCTATGAATTTTTTTTATGCATTCAATATAGAATATATTTGGTGATTTCTATAGCTTTTGAATAAGATGATGTGTAAAGCCACTTTTCACAGTTTAGTGACATTTCTGGGGGTGTAGCCACAACTTGGCAACAAATGACAAAATATTTTGGCTCTCTTTATACAGTATACAATAACCAATTTTAGGTAGATGCTCTAGACCAAGTTCATCTCACAATACCCCTAGATTACAAGATGAAATTTATTAAATGTCACTGAATTTCATTAAAATTCAAGATATTAAAATTCAGTGCATTTAGTATAACACACCTTATAACAGGTGCCTGTTAATAGTATGCTTTGTGTGTACTATAGAGTAAATTTTACCATATTTTGTTTATCAAAGTTTTCTCAGATTTGACAAATACAATAATGATACTCCCTGTTTTTTCCTTTTTATGTGTATTCATATTTTTCTATTATGTGTTTCGGACATTGTGAAAGTTGGTCTAAGGTTACAAATTACATATTCAATGACGTTAATCATACGGTACATCCGTGATACATTCACTATATGTTAGTCACACATCCTTCTTAAGTTTTAATTTACATTAAATTTTGTTACTGATGTGTCTAGAGATGATTCTATACGTGACCATTTGAGTTTAATTATTTTGTTTGGAATTAGTTCTTCAGTATCAACATACTGAATTTGACCTACATATCTCTTTCAAATGATACTGTGCATCCAGGGATGTAGGGATGTTATTCTAGGTCCTAATCAAATGCATACGCCAACATACTGTAAATAATTTTGCATCTGAAGGAAAAGGAACGTTACTTCTGCATATCCCATGGTATGACTTTCAATGAACCACGCCCTCAAAACCCTACAATCTGTGTACATCTTCTGGTCCTATACTAACTGTGAACTTTAAGAGGGCTAGATGAAACCTGTGTTAGGGAAAAAGTATTGCCGTTTACATTGTGGTAAATCATTACGAAAGCTAGAAATATTGTTGGCGACGAACATACTGTTGACTAAACGATGACTTTGATTTTATCTGACTTAGATTTGTTTGAGCTATAGTTTCATCAGTGAAATGTATAGAAAAGATAAATTTTCATCAAAAATAATTAATGACAAATGTTCAACATTGTATGCACAATCAAAATTTACTGTATATTTATTTGGTGGACCAGCTTGTATAGAAAGGGATATCATTTAATCTGAATACCATGTTACAATAGGCCATAAATTTCTTTAAAATATATTTAAATATATTAATCTATTTAAAACTGATATAAGTAGACCTACAAATTCATTCATAGAAAGACAAATGTCATTTTAGTTTAAAGTACTAATGACTCTACACTTACAAGACACAACTGTATCCATAGTACGTAATCTAAAAATTTATTGAAATACAATCAACTAGATCATCATGAAAGTTTCATTAGGTGACATATTATTCCATTAAATTCTTTTATTGGAAATACAAGAATACAATGAACCTTTCTCTGTATTATAGAATGAAGATACATTTTCTGTATTATATAATTAGGTCATAAAATATATCAATGATAATCAAAAACTAATAATGCTGACCCAAATCTATTTTTTCTAGGTGACTGAACTCTGGTATTCCCATTAAATTCTTTCATTGAAAATACAAAAATACAATGAAATGTTTAAAATCTTTCTCTATAGGAATATATGTAATAAGGTTTTCTCATTCATTATATAATAATTAGTTCACAAAATGAATCAATGATTATAAAAACCAATAATGCTGACCCAAGTCTATTCTGTTTCAAGAACATGTTGATTATGAATGAACACTGATTGCATTAACGATAGTTTAATGAGGTTACAGCTGTAGTGAAAGGGATTTGAGTCTTGATACAGCTTAAAGCAGGCTGATAGCAGCTGACCCTAAATACAAGCCTCCACTATACATGCTACATTGTGCTCGGTATTTTCATTGGTGGATTCAAGGATTCATCTAAAGTTGCCATAATCACAAATTTCCATACTTTATCCCCATGGTGTGGCTGAGGTGGTATAGATCATCTATCTGTGGAAGTACCTCCCCAGGCCCCTCTATTTTGAATTCCTGGAACTGCCACTGTCTGTGATAATTTCTTTCAAAGAAACAAGATTGAATATTAACATCAAAAAAAATAAATTTATGCAAGTATTTTTGAATAAATTCATCAAAAAAACACCCGTAAAATAAAATGAATAATCTAAACAATAAAATTCAAATATACTACATTAACAAATAACATTGACAAAAACAAATGGCTTGTTGTAGTCAACAGTACATGCAGGAGCTATACAGCCGTACAGTATTTGTGATCCTCATAGAACCAACCATGACTACAAAAAAGAGATGTTTCCATAGATTTCATGATTCATTATGCAAGCAGAATGTAGCAATTTACAACTACTGAAGAGTGAAAACGACCAAAGCAAAAACTTTAAAAGGAACCAATTACCATGGAGTCGTCACTGAGTAGCACTATTTATATTAAATTGGTTGTATGTACTAGAAATATGTAGGGCTTAAGAGACCAATCACACTTATGAGTTACTTGGCCCAAGGCCGCCTCAGGGCCGGCCCAGGGTCGGCATTTTTTAAGTGTGAACAATCATTAAATGTTAGCCCTGAGCCGACCTAAATTTAGTCCGACTTTTGAGTCGGCTCCGGTCCCAACAGCGATTTTCTTGCAGCCCGCGAATATGAAATCATAACCTTATGTGGGAAAGCAACATTGGCTAGAAAACACCTTTTTTTTACGGCCTAACACTGATCATATGTAAAAAGTAATATTAAAACTGGGAATAAAGTGGTGTTAAAGCAGTGCTTGGAGGTTTTTAGAAGCGCACTGGAAAGATAAAAGTTTGGGTGGAGCCCTCGGTGTTAAATCAGAAATTCACTTTTGCCTTCCGACCGATATTTATGCCCGCATCTGGTTTGCACAGAGTAAAGTCGAGCTGTGCTAAATATGCTAGGTTGGGACCATTCCACCATCATGTAATGCAATCGCCTCAAACTTCCTGTCCTGTAATTCATCGACCCAGCCCAAAGGAGAAGTGTGAACATTTGTGAGGCGGCCCTGGGCCGACTTAAATTGATAACTGTGAACAGAAAATTTGTTTGATTTGGCCGTATTTAAGGCGGCCCAGGGCCGACCCTAGGCCGGCCTAATATGTGTGGTTGGGCTCTTCGTCTCACAACAAAGAAAACAAGACATTGATTCTAAGACTTGAAATGTAGCAATTAATAAATTACACTGAAGAGTGAAATCCCCTGAAACTAGAACTTACAGCGGTACCAACTACCAAGCGAGTCCCCACAGAGTAGTGCCACATATTACATTGGTTGTATTCTTTTTGGAAACGGTTATGATATTTCCTATAGGATGTATTTTAAATTGGCTCAGTTTTTTGTAACCTCCACTTTCATTATTTCTGCTTGTATTTAATTTTCAATCATACATAACATGGTCATAACTTGTTTATGTTTCCTTGTTTCATTTCACCAATATTATTAGTCAGTAATCTATGGAATGTCTAATTCTAGGCCTCAAAATGTGGTCCTGGAATTTTTATTTTTCAATTTAAAAAAAAAAACAAGGTAATTTAACTTGGATGTGTAAATTTAAAGGGGTGGAATCATCTGACCATAGAGGGTGTAAACGTTATGTCTACAAACGACGCATAAGTGAGCAGATGAAGATGACGGTTGAATTATAATAGAATCTCGGGCCTGAATGAAGTATAAACTTAACATATTGTCCCCAATGGCTTTTATGCTTTTTCACGTATTCTCTGGAACCAACTTCCCACCGTCATCCATTATGCTCCAACTCTTTCTGAATTCAAATCTCTTCTTAAAACTCGCCGTTTTCCTAGTTCATATTTTTTAAAGTGCTGTGCGACTCCGGAAAAGAGTACTATATAAATGCTAAAGTGTTGTTATTATTTACATTATTATACAGTGAAAGCTTTCTGGTATTTAAATGCTAATTTTAAAAAATGCTATCTTTTTTATATTTAAAGTAGTTTATAATTTGCTTTGTATGTTTTTTTTTTCTAATAAAAAGAAAACACTAATAGAATTTCAAGAGGTCCAACCTGATTTTGTATGCTGGCAATGAAACGTTAAAAAAATATTATGCATATTACTATGCAAAATACTATGCATATTACTATGCAAAATACTATGCATATTACTATGCAAAATACTATGCATATTACTATGCAAAATACTATGTATATTACTATGCAAAATACTATGCATATTACTATGCAAAATACTATGCATACACAATGATTTAGGTTTACATTTTCATTATATTATGTATCTTCAATTGCTGTAAAATCCTACCAAAGTCTGCAAGTGCTACTACCATTACAAAATTTCCAGGGTATCAAATAGATAAATTATGCTGCATAAGCATAATTTAATCATTCAATGAGGAAATAAACACAAGTAGGCATATGATATTTCCTCTACTTAGTAAGACTTTGTGCTGATATTCATTCAAGATACTGCAAGTTTCAAGATTCAGGATAATATTTATTGTCTATTACAAAAAAAATAGAAATTAAAAAAAAAAAAAAAAAAAGAACTCAACTTAAATTGTGGTAGAAATAGCCTTCATTAATGTGTTTATGCACTGTCATCAAAATATATATTTTTTTAAACGAATAGAAATGCATAAATTATTGATTTTGATCTATTGCTAGCCTGAAAGTCATAACTCCCAACTAAATTGACGATCATGAGTAGTTCGAAGAATATACAAGGTCAAGGAAGTGGACAGGTGATACTGGAGCTACCGCACCTGGCAACAATTTTTTTTTTTATGAAACATTTCTTGTGGATGTACATGTTACCTAATGTTTTCATTGCTTGTATCTTCCCAGGGGCCTGTACAGTCAAGGTTACCAGTGCCAAGGTAAGATTTATTTTGATTCTCATCTTGATAGCCAGCTTAATGTGATTTTTGTCGTACACAAATTCCAACATCATCATTTTCAATTCTTTAACATAGTAGTGATGATGACGGATTTCATGCTCTGATCTTTACGAAATTGAACTTTACAAATGTATTATTATAGCTGCAGAACTGTTTTAATTAGTAATAAACTAACCACAATGGTTATAACATCAAGCTTTTGTCGATGTTATTATATTTAGCGATTCGTATATGAATCAACCTTTCTGACTGTAGTTCGTTGGGTATAGATTAAGCATATTTTTTATGATGCGAAAACTTGGATTAATTTTCGAAAATTTCTTGAAGGTTTGGTAGACTTTATAGATGCTGCCTATTATTACATGAAAGGCGGAAGGCTAGGTAGGCCAGGGCTAATCCTTGAAAATATTTTTGTGCAAAAGTTCAATACAATTTATTTCACACTTGATTCTTGTTACTTTTGGAATAATTGTTATCTGAGGCAAACATGGTATTGTAATTCTCAATACAAACATTTTATTTCAGATAGGAGTATTTTTCATGGAAATACACTATATACTTACCATATTTTCTCGCGTATTAGAAATAGCAAATTACTATCAAAAAGTAGGGGTCCTCATATGTGCGCAACAGAACACGTACACTTTTTATATTAAAACTATGTTTGTCTTATGTGCGAATTCGCCATAACACGCAAATTTACTACTAAAATGAAGTTACTAATTTAGTATGCTTTGAGAGTGGAGTAATAAATATAATCATGTTTGAAAATGGACAGTTAATACTGATTTCTACCAAATTTTTTGTACATAATAATTATTCTGGATTTTGTTTGGTAAACAAGATATAATTTCTTACACATTATATATGAACTTAATAAGTATTTACTTACAATATATAATAGTAATTAATTTTCTTTCCATCAATGTGGTACTTTGATGCGAGAGTGTTGCTTGGTGTAAATGACAGAAGCACCAGACGAGAGAAGAATTGATGCTTACTAATTTAAGAAGGCTTATATATTAAATGTCTTCTATGCTAAAAAAAATAATGATTCTGTTACAGCAAATAGATTAAGAATGTTGAATATTTAGCCTGTTTCAAAACAAACCTTATATCCGCCCACATCGCACATACTACAAAGTTTCAATAGAAAGGTCAATGTAGATTCTACAATTACAGAACTTAATTAATTCTGTTCCACTAATAATATTCTATATATTTTCTTCTCTCCACAGTATGTACTGTTGTGGTCCACAAACGATGTCATACGCTGATGATTACAAAGTGTAAAGAGTTAAATCCCAGTGAGGTAAGACTCTGTCAAAGATAAATGCAGGAACTATATATTGTTAAGGAGTGGGTAAGGGGAATGGAAATTAAGTGTAGGAGTGATACCTTGTAAAATAATGTGATATGAGTCGATTTTCAACTACTTGGCATAATGCTTTTGCTCGGAAAATTTCTAATGGGGGTGATGCCAGCTTTTTATTTGGATGGGCATGAACCTGCCATGCCCTTCTGTTCGTAGATATGCCATTATTGGCAGGCAACAGATTTGCGAAACAACATGTAAAAAAATCTTGAGTTATCCAGTGGTGGCACCTGGGGAGTTTTCCCCTCCCCCATCTGACAGGCCTGGAAACCTTCAAAAGTACATTTACTGTGATGTAAATATACTTGAAAAGAGGTAGGGTACAGAATGAAAGAAAATCCAAAGTTGTTGATAAACCTTTACATGATGCATATTAGTTTTTGAAAACTGATTGTTTTGCATTGAAATAGTTCATACTATTGAAAATTAACTATCCTTCTTGTTTGTGGCTGTCATGCAGAAATACAGATACAGATCTATACGCCCTTGCTCACTGTTACAATGTATGTGCGTGTGGGTGTAACAAAAGGTCGTGGGAAAGCTGCTGTAATAACCTGTTATCTTTGTCCATGGTTGTCATGGTTGCAATCACTCAATTCAAGGATTTTGCTGTAAAAAAAAAATCATCAAATTAAAAATGTTGAATAGGCGTACCAGCTCATTTATCCCAGTCCCTAGAGTCTCCTTATAATTATAGCATTTTAACATAGTCATTGCAATGAACTTATTCTATGAAGCTGCTTTTTCGTCCACATTTCTCTTTGAACAGGCAGGTTCATATATTTTCAATTAACATAATGTCATAAAAAAAACTTAGGGATTGTCCTAAGGATGACCTCTATTATCTCTTCTTACCAATTGCATTTTTTTTATTCTTCATTAAAATTTCATTATTATTTTTTGTATTCCAATAGATGCATTTGAGAGAATCATTTAAATAAAGTTGTTTTTTTTTTCCTTTAAAAACCTTTTAGAAACATAGCTCACTAACCAAGGTATAAAAAAATGGCCTATCATCCAGATATTGGAAGTAAATTTTAGAATCTGTTCATATTTTACATAATATTATGTTTTACCTTTGGAGCCAGGTTATTTTTAGGGGCTTCCCCAATTGTGGGTATATTGCATTATTGGTTAATGACACTACTGGTATTGTTTAGAAGGTCATCGTCACGTTACATATTTTTTGAACAAATTATGTCAGGAAATGGCCATTCCATAAGGTTTTTAATCGCTAGATAATGTTTAATTAAGGAGAGGATCAGTTAATAATGTTGTGCTTTTAGTATTATGGAACAACAAGGAGGTCCATACATTCATAATTGGTAGTAGCTATATCCACGGAAGTGATGATTACTGGAGGTCTACTTCTACTTCAACTTTTAAAGATAACCCACCAGGGGCGGATTTAGGGGGGCCCGGCGCGGCCCCGGCCTCCCCTTTTGAGAGGTAAAAAAAAGGGGAAAAAAAAGAAAAAGAGAAAACGATAGCCCAGAACGCCTCAAATGTTATTTTCTGGCATCTCAAACACAGAAATTTCGCGGGGGCCTGACCCCGGACCTCCTATTTCGATCGGTTCCCCCCCCTTTCGCCGCCCTCCCCCCCTTTTAGACATCTCTGGATCCGCCCCTGACCCACTATGTTTGCAAGTTAGCTTTGTTTCAAATATTCAATATCTCATTATATGTGCCGTAGCCAGCTATTGGGACAGTTGGACAGTCCTACTCAATTTTTTTATTGGGTCCACAAAGAATGGGTCCAGATTTCTCATATTTTGTGTAAAATGGGTCAATTTTTAAGATAGTTGGTCCAGATTATTCATATTTTTGCGTAAAATGGGACAACATTTAAAAATCATTCCTGAATGTGTTAAAATGTTTTAAAAATGGAGATAAAAAGAAAATTTTATTCAGATTTCAAGTGTCAGTGCCATTTCCGGCCATTTAGAGGTACCATAATCATACATTTTCTTGTAGTACCTTAGCCCCAGCCATGGTGGGACTGAGGTAGGGCCTATAGACCCTCCATTTGTGAAAGTCCCTCCCAGGCCCCCTTTATTTCAAATTCTTGGATCCGCCACTGATATCAGATTATTTCATTGTTAAAAAATATTTAGAATACAATGAAAAACATGATAAAAAAAAAACCAAAACAAAAAAACAAAAAACGGGCACATCTAATATCCCACCAAGACCCAAAAAAGGGCCCCTAGTCTCCGAAAGCCACAGGGCCCCAGACCCCTGTGTTACGCCACTGTTCTGAATAAGCTTTAGTGTACTTCATGGAAGTAAAGCCTTTGTTGATATTTTATTTTTTGTAGGAAGTGGAAACACCGTCTCAACGATTCAGGATTGATGTGCCTCATCTTTTTCATGTGCACAATTACAAGAAGTTCACATTCTGCGACCACTGTGGCTCTCTCCTATATGGTGTCATCAAACAAGGACTGCAGTGCCATTGTAAGAAACCATATTCACGATTATCTTTCTTTGGAATTAGTGATATTTTAATAATTTTATATGTTGTGGGCAAAGATGGTTAGTGCTTTTCAGGCCAAAAGTTGCTTTGAACCTAGCTGAAACTAGTTCAAAATGCTTACAAAATTATAGCATTGTGTGTTAATTTGCATGATATTTTAATTACCTGTTTTCAAAACAATGTCAAAATACATAGTATTTTACTAGGCACATCTTGGTTTTATGGTAGCTTTGCTTGGACCTACTTTGATGAGAATCCAAACATGGAAAGTGACCAGAGTGCATAGTAGAAAAACACTATGCAAAAATATAGAAAAGAGATAAAAAAAAATCCAGAACAGAAACTTTGACATTTCCTACAAAAATAGCAATAAAAAGTACTTTATATATTACAGAAATATCTCAAATTTTCAATCAAAAACCAATAAAATATGTTATCTGGTGCTACAGTACTTATTAAATTATGCAAGACTGTCAAGAAACAAACAAACAAAAAAAAAAAAGAAGAAGAAATGAATGCAATACCTACATACCTACGTCTCCTTCCATTAAACTATCAATCAGAATGAATCTATCTTTGTTTAAATTTGTCTATAAATGGTACATGCAGGCTTTTAAATGTAGGTTTTGAATATAAATAATAATTGGCCAAGATTTTTTTTAAGCTCGCAGGTGCATTGTAGTAATAAATCTCATTTTACAAACCGTTGCATAAAGGGAAGTGCGGAAATCAGGTCGTGACATAGTTACTTCCATCCATTTGGCACATATCTATTAAAAAATGTTTGTTATTACATTACTAATAACACACAACTACCACTTAGGGTATCAAACTAAAATACCTCAAGATGAAATGAGAGCAAGAAGTATATGAAATACGCATGAAAAAGTAGAAAGGGTAGCCATGTTAAATTGAATACAAACAGCGCTAACAAATAATATCAAAGAAACTCAAAAGGCTGAGAGAAGCCATGCTTATTCAATATTTTATCATTTAATAGAACATCAGGAATAATAGTGGCCATGAAGATGATGATGAGAAAATAGTAGTATCCTTTCTTTTTTAAATATTATAATTAGTAAACAAAACCAATAATAATATATTGATTGATTGATTGATCTATTGTTTAGTTGCCTCATCGTTTCGATGAATGTTATATTGGCCAATTGTTGTGGACAAATCATATATTTAAAAAAAATGCCTACTAAGTGTATGTATGTTTTAAATACTGTGTTAAAATGGATGAATGGAGAAACAAAAATAGGACGTTCCCACAAAAGACAAAAAACAACGAACAAACAAACACCATATCATATAAATATACACAAAGATTTATATAAAAAGTATAAAAAAAAAAAATTAGATCCTAGTGAATATGTCTGGCTGGTAAATGTTGCTGATAACATAATTTAAATTCTGTGGTTTCAGATGATGCTTGTACTCTACATGTGTATGTTTACCTTTCAAACCACATAGGTTCTAAAAATAGTAATAACAACGAGCTTTAGCCACAAGCAAAGTAGCCAGAAGACAAAAATTGATAAACATTGGGCTAGTAGATTCCCAAGGGAGATCCTAGAAACTAGTCCGGTCATATTTCTGATGATTTCTCTACTTAAGTAAACTCTAGTCAGGGCATGGTTTCAATATATTTTTGGACAGGTCTTGTATTTATTGTTTGATTTGATAATTACAGTTTCATATTTGTTATTAAGACAGTGAAAGCATACAGAAGCATTTAATCAAGAAACAATATTATTTTTACTCTTCTCATTGTTTTTTTTTTGTATCATTAATTACATATATTTACCATTTACAATAAAATAGAATTAAGTTTCACAATTGATAGCTTTTGCTTTTAAGACATTGAATTACTCAATTAAAATGGAAAATATGAAGAGACACAGATCAAAGCATTTCAGTTTTAAATGAAAATTACCAATAAATTTTCTTTAAAAATTTATTTTAATTACTAGTAATTTAGAAATCTCTGTACATGGAACTTTAGAACTGTATTATTTAAAGTGTGTGTCTTATTGGCAAAGAAAATATTTTCTCATTTAAAAGGTTCTAAGTATGTTAACAGTTCTCAATTCAATTCAATTTGTTTTTAGCAATTTGATTTGATTTTGATTTGATTTATTTGCATCTCAACAACAGACAAACATAGAACCATTTACAATGTAAAAAGCATTAAAAACATATAAATAAAATTTGTTTGGTAAAAATATTTCACATTAAAGTTACCAGAAATAAAATGTTCTTAAAATACAGTAAAACGGTAAATCTTTAAAAAAAAAAATCAAGAAAAAAAAGTTACAGGCAACAAGAATTTTGCTAGGAAAATATTTCAGTTGGCCAGGAAAATATTTCCTCATTTAAAAGATACTTAAGTATGTTGAGGGTTTTTAATATAGTTCAATTCTATTTGGCAACAACAACATAAATCAAGTACAGATTACATCGATAATAACATTAAAAACAAGAGTTTTACATTTAGCTTCCTGGTCTGACAAAAGTTGTGTTCACTGGCACAAAAGTGGTTTGCCAGTGTACTGAATGGTATCTGATTTTTTTCCTCTGCTATGGTTATCGTTATTTTCTCATTTTCTATCTCTTTGGAAATCCATACCATCTGATTGCTGTCCTTAATCTTATGATCTATTTCTTTTTTGAGGAATCCTACTCTTTCTTCATGGCTAGTTTCTATATAAAAAAAGGGCATGTCGTTTCACAGAGAATGAAATGAATGCTTCAGTAGTAGCTTCGGAAATTTGAAATTTTTCATCCTCAGCCACAACCATGCTGGGGTTGAGAGAAATAAGAAAATTTATGATTATGGCACTCTAAGACTTAATTGAGTATAATTTTCTTTTCTTTCTCCATTTAAAAAACATATTTTTTTTTAGTGGAAGTTGATTGAGTCTGCCACTGTGTATGATGATTCCACATTTGTTATGTTTATCTGTTTTATTTGTCTTTTTTTCTAGCTTGCAAAATGAATGTTCATAAACGGTGTAAGAAGAACGTGGCCAACAGTTGTGGAGTTGACAGCAAAAAGCTGGGCCAGGTCCTGATTGAAATAGGGCTAACTTCAGATCAATTATCCCACAAGAAAAAGGTAAAGTGATATGCCAGAAATTAATGATATACAAATCTATTTTGGAGTATTTATAAATTGACAGCAGATACATACACTATGAAGCTTATGCAAATCTCTGTTCTGATTAGACATATACCTAGTCAATTTTGCCAAAAATGTTATCAAGCAGGCTTAACATTCTCCTTGTTAAAATTACCTAATCCATGCAGGAATTTTAACTGATCAAATCATGTCCAAGAAGAATAAACCAGACTGCTTTTGCCAAGCAGAAAGCTGAGTGGTGGTATCAGACAGATAAACCGACTAATCAGCGAGCGTCATTTAGTCATGTAATTAAAACTTTTTCTCGGGCATTCAAATTTCCTTAGACAGCTGGTTTAAACGCGAAACATACATGAGCGTAGACCTAGATGTCTATGCTTGGTTATAGACACCCAGATTTACACGAGCAGTGCGCATCAGTGACTTGGCATTTGCCGACAACAAAGATGACTGAATTCGGCTTTTCCCTCTTCCTTTAGGAGCGAAATACAGAGGCTTTCACAACAATTTCCCCGCCATGTTCCATGAAATAGATTAACACTATGAATATATGATTCATTTGCATACCGCTTTCCTGAATTCTCTTTCTTAAAGAAGGTTGATAGCAAAGAAAATCTTCACCAACTCAGTAAGTCTGGCCGCCATTGTCTAAGGTTTTTGTGACTTTGTGGGCGGGGCTTCGTGTACTTGTCAACATGTCAATTGTTCACATCTCTCTGGTGTTATTGTATATAATCTAAATTTTGTGTGTCCAAACATTCAAAATTGAACTTGTCTACAAATCAAATTAGGTATGGTCATAGCGATGAGTATTTTCCATGGTCTTTATAATAGGTACTGCATTACATCCGACTACAATCAGCAGTAAATTTCAGTCAGAGTTAATTTTTCCCTTTGTTGAAATTTGATCCCATTCGAACATGACTTTAAGTTATGTACACACTAATTTTATCTGTGATAAGTACCTGTTAATTTGCCCATATATGGGTATAATGTGACAATAATTTCCATGTATGGGCAAATCATAGATATTTGTCACAGAAAGCTTAATAATGTGGACAAAACATTTATCTGAAGCTGGGCATACACCATTAGAATTTTGTTTGTCAGATTCAAATGAGAATGTCTTATCAGACTTTGATGAAAAACGATAATGTTAAGCTCTGTCCAACTTATCAACTTTCCTTTGACAAAAGACTGTTGTATGCCCATATATAGTCATGATGTGCCTATATATGATCATGATGTGATGTTACATGACCATATTTAGGCATGATGCATGTTTTTGTCGAAATTTAGTAGTCTGGACAAGGCTTTAATCTGGCTTATCTCATTAGTCTAAAGGCCAACTCAGACAGCATCGTACGACGCAGCCCGACGCGATTTATCATCAGGGACAGTCTTAAGCCGTCGTGAGAAATATTAAACATGTTGACTATTCTACCACAGGACTGCCCCCGACGCAAACCATCGTGTCTGCTTTTAACTCACACAGACCCGATGTGAAAACCAATCGCATTGAGCTGCGTTGTGTGATGTTGTCTTGAGTTGGCATTAACAGGCAAAAATTGTATCATATATGCTCAACTTGATCTATTTGCGAGTAATGCCTAACCTGAAATTTTGCATTCCCAGAATACTATGTATAATAATTCCAAAATATTTCAGTATATTGTAGCATTGTTTATATTATATTTTTTATTGAATTAGGTGATTTAGCAAGGACACTTTAGAGGATATTTGCTAAGATAATATTTACTTAGCCTAAGTTCCCAGATTAAACAAATCAAGGCTTTGGAATAAGTGCAGTATTAATGGCTTGATGTCGGTTTACGTTTGATAATTGATTTTTGTTATAGTTCCCAGCAGTTGATCTGGAGTCTTTTGTTATTAGTATGTCAATGCCAAATTGATAATAAGTTATAAAATGTTGACACGAGTTTAGGGGCAAATCTTTAGTATTTCATTAGAAATTTATTGATTTTGTCTAGTCTATATTGTCTATATATACTGTATATTATGATAAAGTAAAATCTTAATGGGGAGAATAAACAAGGAGTTGAGTGGTAGAACCTAATGTAACGATGGAGCTATTTTCGACACTAGATATTTTTGGTATTCCTTTTGATGGATGATTAGACGTTAATCTTCTTTTATTGGATACTGTACATAGACATCATTATTATTAAATTATTATTATATTTCGTCAGTGTGAAACATACCAATGGCTAAAAGCATTTCATCTGAAAGATGGTGTGCTACTGAAATTTGCATTTCAGTTCTGCTGAAACAACATAGCGGAAGTATTAAACCGCACTTGGCTACCACTGGTAGTCTGTCTATTCATACCTAGATTTTTAGTATTTCTTGGAGAGGTTTATCATTACCAGGTTATTATGGTCTGAACAAGTCTATTGGAAGAGTTTATCATGTTCTGGTTGTTTACACATCAATAGTCTTTTCTACGTGCCCTAATAATTCAGGTTTGAACCATTTTTACATTCAGATTCTTGGCTGTAGTATGAATACTACTGTCTGTAGACCTGAACAATCTAATATTTAAGTCATCTTTCAAGTTCTGGTTGTTTACACATCTTAAGTATTCCGTCTTTTTTAAATGTTTAATCATCCTGCTAATACTGTGGACAGTGCAATCCTATTGAAAACATCTCTCGTGTTCTGGTTGTTCATACATCTTCATTTTGTCTTTTGTAAACGTTTCTCAATTCTATTGGTGAAATCTGTCATGTTCTAATTGTTGAGATTCCTCAAACATTTAGTCTATAGTAAATGTTTATCATGGTCTGGTTATTATTTAGATCTGCACAATTACGTTGAAGAAGTTTGTCACGTTGTGATTATTAGGCACCTGCTTGGTGTCCAGTCATTCACTTTAATACCATTACCTCTTTTCATAGAATATGCCTTTGTAATATAATAATTGTAGGCTAAGCAAACAAATTATTCCATTGTATAAATAGAGTAGATGCACAGGATAAATATTACTGGTTAAGTCTTATTGATTTTAGGTGTTCATTTGGACATCACATTTTTGTCAATTGCCGATATATTTTCAATTAAGTAATTGTGTATTCGGCTATCACTTGATAGGTAAAAAAATTGCCCTATATTAGTTGAACCTGCAAATGATCAATCAAATATATTGGTAATGGTTGATTAATTTACTCTGTCAGTTATGGATTATGATAATGTCATAAGTCCCTATCTAATTGGTAGCTCTAGAATATAAATTTAGTTGTTGTGGAAAGCTAGAGGGCCGGTGGACTGGTTTATGGGTCTGTACCATAAGATTATAATAAGAATACTAGAGCGCTAACTGCAATGTATTAGATGTTCGAAATACGCATTGTTGTGTGCGTGTACCATTCAAGATGGCTGCCATAGATTCAGCCAATCAAATTTCGCCTAAACGCTATCATTTTCAATGGCGCCCTCAATCTACACAGAAAGTTCAGTACAGCTAGTTACTCGTATGTTTGAAACTCGAGCGTTGTGGTGTATGGGTGTAATGTACACAATTTTAATTTTTGTTTATTTTTGAATAAGATGCTCTACTTGGCCTCTTTTTGGCTACGATAGTTTAATAATTTGTTATTATCAATACAAATTATTATTAATGAAATAATAGTCAGTCAGAGGGCTTATTTATGGTAATAATATGTATACTAAGCCTGAAGGTGGCGCTTTCATACGGCGGCCATCTTGAATGGTACACATACAAAACTGTGCATTGCTTCGCCATCTTGTCAGCACTCTAGTTGTTTAATAGCTGTATGGTCTGTGCTAATCCCCATATGCCCAATAAATGAAATGGGACTGCTGGTCTGAAAGAAATTTTAGAAGTCAAATGTGACCAAGAATTGTTGCTGACAAAAGTTCCAGTTACATGTCCAACAGGGTCTGAACCAAGGAGAGAGCAGCTTAGCTCAGTCGGCTAATCTGGTGGTAGCCGCTGTGTGTGCGCTGAACCGTGGAGATCTCTAGGTCCCTGGTTTAATTCCTATCGCTGCCTCTCCTTGTGTTTCAGCTAGAGGGCTAAAATACAAGTTACAATAGTGCAGCGTCTTTCGGATGAGACGTTTAAGGCGTTGGTCCCGTGTGCATTATGGCCCATGTGTACGTTAAAGAACGCAGTACACTCTTCGGAAAAGAGTAGGGGATTGTCTCCCGGTGTACTGCCCAATCACCACCAGAAGGACCCCACTGGAAATAAGTCGTCTTCTAGACTTTCGTGGGCTATCCTTGGTGTTTACACCGAATAAATCCAATCCAATCCAAGGTCTGCCTAGAGCCTTGGTCAGGGTCCTAGAATAAAATTTATTTATTATTATTATTATTATTATTATTATTATTATTATTACAAGTATTAATTCTTTTATGTTAATATACTTTTTATATTGATTTTATATTTGTATATTTTATTAGTAGTATATAATTATAATGTTATTTTAATTTTATTATTAATGTTAATAATGTTACTAATTTTGTTATTGTTAATTACTATTTCAGCATATTTTTCAAATTTAATTCTAATAATTTATATCTACTTATAATATCATAAATCATTACCATTATTATCAGTTATTAATAAATTCAGTAGTATAGTATTAATTAATTATTGATAGTGTTATTTTGGTCAGTACATAACAACATAATTCTTTATGATAATCATCGTATCTAAGTCAAGGTAACCATTTCATGTCATCGGGTTTGACTAGGTATAAATTGTATGCCCAAAAAAATCAGTAAATAACTGTAAATCCACCAAAAAATAGTACAAAGAAAATGAAGAATGGGACATATATATAGTAGCCAGTGTTGGTTGTGTGTAAAGGTCTTAGCTACAGACAAGTAGGAGGAGCTGATACAGTCTTGCTATCACATTGCTGATTATAACGTGTCTGCTTACCGTTGTGCAGTACTGTATACTGTAATTGCATATTCATTGTATTGCGCTCAACAGATCGCCTCTTGCTCCTTATTACACTGTGCAAGTTAGGTTCAAAGGTCAGCATCTAGGAGGAATATTAGATGGAGTGAAATGAGTGCTGTGTTTCTCAGACTGCTAGCTTTACTCTACCAATTTCACTTACTACTATTACGTATTTCTCTATATTAGATTGTCATCGTGTTATGCTATGATAATTTTAGTATTATGTTAAATTATTAATGATGGAAGTTAAGGGTTTTTCTTCTAATAAACATGTGAATTAAAAAAGGATTATGATGATTGTTTAATATAAATATTATATATATATATATATATATATATATATATATATATATATATATTTTTCTTTCAGGTTGCATTGTTTATCTATTATGATCCCTAATATGAATTTTGTTTAAATTTTAATATTTATTCTAGCTATTTGATTAAGAATTTTTAGCTAACATCTTGTCATTGATATTTGAAATCTTATGCTATAATGTTAAGTAAAATAAGAGCCATTCATTTTTTTCATTAAGACTATAAAGAGAGTATAAAACATACTCTTTTAAAATGTGCTTCCTTCCCTTCAATGAGTAAAAAATATAATTATAATTTTTTGTTGAGATCATCCTTTTTATAAAAGAATCTTCCACCAAGTATAACATGTTTTCTACTCTCTTGAAAATGAAAAAAATGGATGGTCTCTTACATACATTGTTTTTTATGGGCAGGGATTCAATGCGCAAGGGGCTCATAAATTGCCCAATCAGGATTTTAACTCTTCTGTTCAATCAGGTAAATGGTGTAGGCCTGCAGAAATTGTTATTGCAAACCCAGCCAGCCTCATTTCTAACAATTGTGCAATGTATTTTGCTTACGTATCGCCTTACACTGAGATGACCAATCTCAAATTTATTCATTCTACATAATTGGATGCTTAATGTCTGTCCATACTATTCAGTTTCTTTGACAAAAAATGATGTTGTATGCCCATATATAGTCATGATCTGACTGTATATGGTCATCATATGATGACATATGATGTCATCATGACCATATTTAGGCATGTCACATGTTTTTGTCAAATAACATTTGATAGTCTGGACGGCTTTAGAGTGTGCGCCAGAATTGCTGTACAGTATTTAAAATTCAAAAATACAATTTTACATTAAATATTAAAATTATCTATAATTTAATGGAAGCAATATTTGTTTATATAACAAATATATCAGATCTTGAATGGTAAAACTGAAATTCAAAAATTATTTACAAATTTACTTTAAAAATATACATGATGATGTGGTAGGATGGTTTCAATGTGACTAAATTATATATTACAGCAGCATTCAGAATAGATGTTAAAAAAAAACATTTTTTTTGTTGAAATAATTTCTACTTTCCTCAGAGTATGAATTATTAACGTATGGCACATTCTAGCATTTCATTAGATAGAATTGATTGAAATGATAGGTCACTTCATGTTAAGAGTTGTATCATGAACGTGTTCATTGTTGTTGTACGTCTGTATAATTATTATTATTATTCATGATTATCGTTTAGCATAGGACATGTGATTGCTTTTCACTTATATGCATGAGTTGCAGTGATTTCTGCTACTCCAAGACTCTCATGTCACATGTCACATCCTTCGTCAGAAATATTGACCATATTCTGATGAGTTTTTTTATGTTTGTTCACGAGGAGGGACTTACTATACATGGTCGGGGCTACAAAAGGAATCAAAAAGAGAATTGCTGAATATGCTGCAGTTGATGCTATGGCCAAATGACAAATTCCTCATCACAATCTGACAGATGTGTGATGGGTTGCAGTGGTTTCTTCTTCTCAAAATGCTCAGGTCACATGACACTAAATTTTTTATCACAAACTGACAAATGTGTGATTAGTTGCAGTGAATTCTGCTACTCCAAATGTTCAGGTCACATGATACATTCCTCATCACAAGTGTGACAAATCAGTCGTTTCTTCTGCTCCAAATGCTCAGGTCACATGACACATACATTTCTCATCACAAACTGACAAAAATGTGATGAGTTGCAGTGGTTTCTGCTGCGTTGTGATGCTTAGGTCACATGACACATTTCTCATCACAAATTGACAAACATATGATATGTTGTAGTGGTTTCTATTGCTCCAAAAGCTCAAATCACATGACAAATTCCTCCTCATCACAAACTGACAAATACTTGATGAGTTGCGGTGGTTTCTGCTGCTCCATGATGCTCAAATCACATGAAAATTTCCCCAACTTGACAAATTGATAGTCATGTGATTAGTTGCAATGGTTCTGCTTCACCAAATGCTCAGGTCACATGACCTCCTCATCACAAACTGACAAACATGTCAGTTTCTGCCACTCCAAAAGGCTCAGGTCATCACTCATCATTCAATCATATATATGTAATGAGTTGCAATGATTCATGTCGCTTTGTCTACATATTAATGTTGATGCTAATATTTAATTGTAAACCATCCACATCTGTTTCAATGTACCACTCAAAAAGCTAATCCTCAAAAACTTTAATATTTGATAAAACACAATCATTCCACCAGTAGACTTTCATGGATGGATGTTACAGCTTTTATCAACATTTGATACCGCTCTATCTTGACAACCAGCTCACTGCTAATACTAATAATCAGGCCACATTTCCTATTAATCTTGTATTATGCAGTTTTTTTGCTACAGTATTATGTACAATTGAATATTTAATCTTGAGCACATTATACTATGGTTCCATATAATAAAGCATAAATTCCCTAATAGAATACACTTCCATTGTTGTGGGATAATGATTAAGAAAACACTGATTTTGTTACATGTTACAAACCTCATTATTCCATTACGATTCCCTATAGGAACATACATTACATGATTTCATATAAAAACACATTCTATGACTCATTTTTGGATGGAAAACCTAAATTTCATGATACCTTAATATAGTTCCCATGATATCTATGTTTCTCTTAATTTGTCTAAGTACATGCTCTGTGATTCCTTATGTATCTCCTATGTTGAGCACACCACTCCATGACTCCATATAATATAATTTCGCTATTGAAGCACATATTCCATAATTACTTATGCTTTCTTGAGCACAAAATAAATAAGTTTTGATTCTTCACATATTAGAGTACATACCATTATTTGTATGATTCCAATTTTGGAGCACATTCCATGATTCTCTTTTTATTCTCCTGTTGGAGATCACATTCCATGTTTAATAAAAAAAAAATGTTTCTAGCATAGGAACAGTCACTCTATGATATTTTATTGGAGCATGTATTGTTGACAAATGAAGTACTGATATATATATATATTCTATATTATAGAATGCTGCATGATTTGTGTGTTGTTTTTCTTGTTGTGATATTTTAGTGTTCCTTTTCATCCCATAATAATGTGAAATCCACCTCAAGTTCTGTTTCATCACGTGAGTCAACAATATCTTCAGGTATGCTTACGCAACAAATATATTTTATCTATTTATTTATTTTTTACTATTTAAACTGATTTAAAAAAAAAACTAAAAGAGAAAACTTTTCTAAATACAGTAATATATTTAGAAGGTAAATGAAATTATTTGGCACTCGGGGCGTTGCAATGCAATGTCATTTTGTGCACCGTTATCATTACTGAAATAAAGATTTGACATTGCTTTTGTAAGATTATTACAGTACATTTTTTTAATGTGTATAAAAGTATGTATTCAAATTTGTATTATCTGCTAAGTTAACTTTTTTAATTTAATCCTAATGACAACAATTGCATATTTATGAATGTAAATACCAAAAAACTGGAGTGCCATAAGCACTGTCTCACACAACAAATACCAGTAGTATCTGCAAAATTGATTCTTTTTCCTGGGTTTAATTTAATCCTATTGACAACAATGCATAACCACATACCACAAGCACCGTTTCACACGACAAATACTGGCACCAGCTAAATATTGAATAAACCACGTTCAGTTGTGTTCACACTACCTAATATATGAATGGAATCTTTATGTGTCGGTCTGTTATATGTAATATATTTATTTTTGTAAGCATGGATTAATTTGCATGTGCTGATGTCGGTTTTCTTAATGTTTTAGTTACATACATAACATAGACAATGTTGTTAAACTATATGATAAATTGTCTTATTTATATTTAATGATTATAAATATTAGTAAATGTTAAAAATAATATGTGTAGCAAGCAGTAGATGGATAATTCCTAGAAGGAAGTAATTGTTTCTCATAATACAGCATTGACAAGTAGAATATTGAATAATTCCTACATGGGGAAAAAAACTAGGTCATATCTGTAGGCAAAATATGGGCTAATCCCTACAAGAAATAGTATCTGATAATCCCTATAGATTGGATATCATAAATAATATTGGGTTTCCTTACAAGTATAATATGGAATAGCATGATTTTAGTGATAAATAACTACTCAAAGATATAAAAAAAAAATGTAAAGAAATATGGAGGAAGCAGTAGATAGATAATTCCTGAAAGGAAGTAATTGTTTTTCATAATACCAGATTGACAAGTAAAATTTTGAATAATCCCTATATATAAAATATTCAAAAATCCCTACAAACAAAATATGGGTTAATCCCTATAAAGAAAACAAACTATTGGATAATCCCAATAATTATAACATCGAATAATCCTTACAAGTATAATATCTGATGATTGTTATGAAAATCAATAATCCCATCAATTGCAGTATTATGTTATTCTTAAGAAAATTATTGAATATTACCAATAAAATTAGAAGTAAAATATAGAATAATTATGATTTGTAATAAGATAAATCTACATGCAAATTACATACCGTAGGTGGATAATAAGAAGTTGTGACTCTGTTGCTTTAAACAAATAAATGAACAGTTTTTGACACACTTCCATTAAACAATAGGAAAAATGATACTGATATTTGTAATAGGAATTATCATGTTAATCAAGTCTAATTTATCTGTTTATGATTCATCATTCTGAATTCTAAGTATCTAAATAATGTAATGTTATCTTTTATTTTATAAATATTTCATTAGTGGGCAGCACATCGGATGATACGGCTAATCTCTTGGATGCTATTCAAAATATTGCATTAGAAAATAAAGATGATGTGTTTGGGCCTTCATCTATTGGCGATGAATCTGAGCTTCCATCCAAAGTCTACACACTCGAAGATTTCAATTTCATCAAAGTGCTAGGCAAAGGTAGCTTTGGAAAGGTAAGACGAATATTATTTAACTTATGAACACATTATTCCCTCTACCAACAACCCGGCACTACACCATACACACCAGTATACAAACCCACATTCACCATACACACCTGAGGAAAACCCCATGTACTGTTCTATAAACACATATAAAAAATCCCACACTACACAATACACTTCTGAAAACAACCCCACACTGCATCATATACACCTGAAAACTCCCTCCCTGTACCATGTACATGGGAACAATCTCACACATGGAAACAGCTAAACCCACACTTACGCACCAAAAAACAACTATACATATACAAATGAAACCCCCAAACTGCTCTCTCCCACCACCGTACACAACTGGAAACAGCCTGACACAATACTATATGCAGCACCTTGAAAGAATTAAGCCCACACTACACCATACTCTCTATAAAGTAGACAAAGCAACGGCACAACACATGTGCAATGGATCTTTTTAATGACGATCTGTGCAGACTGGCACCGATAATCAGCAGACGGCCTCGCATGGTCTAACGCTCAAATGGCTGCTCGACTGTTGTACGATGCCGTCAGTGTCCAGCTTCAGTCATTTCTAATGTCCTAATGATTGATCTTTTATTGGTTGTAGGTGATGTTGGCTGAACTGAAGGGTACAGATGAAGTGTATGCTGTAAAAGTTCTCAAGAAGCACTCAATAATTCAAGATGATGATGTTGAGTGCACTATGACTGAGAAACGTGTCCTGGTCCTTGCCAACAAACATCCGTTTCTAACATCACTTCATTCATGCTTTCATACAAAGGTATTTCACAATTGTCATTCTTAATGTTTATGGTAGTGGTTGTAGAGTTTTATAGCATATAAAAATATAATATATATAATATTTTAACCATTGGCCTGCCTACTACCACTCAGTTGCTCTGCTAGACAAGATATAGGGTTGCTGATATATTATATAGATATATATATATAGATATATTGCAGCTAAAAATTTAGAGTGCAATAAACTGGCCAATGAGGTTGCATTTACTGCCTGATAGTGCTGCAGTGGTTGACCAATGAAGCAGCAGTCAATGGCTGATGAGGCTGCATTAGGGAGATTTTGCAACCTAATGAAAACGATAACGAATACGTCATCATTATCGTCATTCGTTCTTATCAATATACTGTACAAGCTGAAGATGAATTATGATCCTTGATTATGCAAAATGCATGATTGCTTACGTTGTGACAGATACGCTACTGTAGAAGAAGAAGTGTTTTTTGATTATGTAACCGTTTTCGTTATCGTTTTCATAAGCTTGCGAAAACTGCCTATTGACTGACCAATGACATTATAGTAACTGGCAGCATATTCACTGACATTTGACCTTTTTGCTAAGCCCTGCCACTTGAATATTGTTGCTAAGGGCCCACCAAACAACTGCGTAGAAACATACTCAAACATGCGTGTTTGTGCAAAAACATGAGTGTTGAACATGCTCGTATTCCTGGCATTGTTCTGATTGGTCAGTTGTTAAATTTGATTGACATTCCAGAAAGGTCCAATTGTGATCTAGCTATTGTAAAAATTTCCACTGACAACCAATATTCCTCTTCTCAGGATCGTCTGTTTTTTGTGATGGAGTATGTGAATGGAGGCGATCTGATGTTTCAAATTCAGCGGGCACGTAAATTTGATGAGCCAAGGGCCAAGTTTTATGCAGCTGAAGTGACATTAGCGTTACAGTTTTTACACAAGTATGGTGTGATTTACAGGTAACGACGTGCCTTCATTAAACTACAGGAAATATTTCTTCCTGAAAATTATGTTAGTGAACTTAAAGACCTCGAATGAATAATATAAGTATGGCTTTCTGTTGTGTTGAAAAAATACTTCATAGTCTCTGATTTAATTCCTGCAAAAACTCTCTTAATTGTATTGCTTGGTAGCGTACAGCAGAACCCCTCTTTTGGGACACCGTTATTAACTTAGTGGATGGCTCTATTAAGGAGGACAATTCTTTGGCCAATAATCAAGGGAAAATATGTCTTAATTACGAAGGCCAATTCCTATTCATGGCACACCCATATTAAGGGGACTCTCTTTTGGGTCCTGAAAATTTCTCATTAATAGGTTTCTACTGTGTACTGTGTACTGGCTAACAAAAAAAATTTACCTCCACGATGATTGACATCTGGTTTTGGAACCTGATTACTGATTCAGATGTAATAGTACCATATTATATTTAATCAATCATGCATTCTTTATTATTTGACTCCAGGGATCTTAAACTGGACAACATTTTGTTAGACATGGAGGGACATTGTAAACTGGCTGACTTTGGTATGTGTAAAGAGGGTATTATTAATGGCAAGCTGACGTCAACCTTCTGTGGAACACCAGACTACATTGCACCCGAAGTAAGTTGTCTACTAAATTAATGATTATTGATGATGGGTAGCGAAAATCATGTTTGATAGATAAATGATGTGTTTATCAGGACAGTTAGAACAATCATAGATGGAGCAGGTGGTGTGTTGGTCAGAATGCGGCCTGCATGCGGCCCAACAGTGTTTTTTTTTTGCGGCCCACGAAAATGAATTAAAAAACCCTATATGTGCGGCATGCCAAACATTTTTGACTAAAAAATACCATCTGTAAAAAGTAATGTTGAAACTGAGAATAAAGTGGTATAAAAGCAGGGCATGAAGGTTTTTTTGGGAGCACACTGTAAACATCAAAGTTTGGGTGCGGCCCACGTTGTTAAATCAAAAATTCACTTTGGCTCTCCATTGATTTTTATGCCCACCCTTGTGTAGATTCATTTTCAAAGGTTTTATTTTTTCTTTTAGATTTTACAAGAAGCTGACTATGGTCCATCCGTTGATTGGTGGGCACTTGGTGTCTTGATGTATGAAATGATGGCTGGTCAACCTCCATTTGAGGCAGACACTGAGGATGATTTATTTGATTGTATCATGAATGATGATGTACTCTACCCGGTGTGGCTCAGCAGGGAAGCGACAACAATCCTTAAAGCTGTAAGTCTATTGATGATTGAATGATGAAAATATCATATGTCGATGCCTAATATTTATTTTCTTTTGTTTTTCTCTTTTATTACATTTTATATTGTACATAACTCCGTTGTTTGTGCATTATGCACTCTGATCTTCACATTTGTGCATTATGTGCTCTGATCTTCATGAAATGGTGTTATATAAAGTGCTGTAATATATGTATGATGCCCCAAAAAGTCAAGTGTAAAATTAAGAATAATAATACTATAGAAATTTATGCCATACCTTTCCTAGCGATACAAGGCACTGCAGATATTATTACCTCTTATTAGATCCATATATTGGCAAACCAGCGCAAATTACAAGCTTCTCCACTCTCTCGGCGAGCATTCCTAGTTGTGTTACAAACAATATAGTGTTTACAGATTAATGCATTCAGTAGCAAATTGTCCTACCCTGTCCCATTTATATTCCTGGGCACAGAGAGCAACATGCACAGGTAAAGCATGTTGCCCAAAGACACAAGCGAAATGCACAGTGAGAGGATTGAACCACTGACATTAGTATTGGTAGCCTGGACTGTAACAGCAGCGTCAATTGCTCTCATCTTTACAGACATTTAAGATAAATTAGTATTTGTTTTCATTTCAGTTTATGACCAAAAGTCCTGCAAAACGTCTTGGGTGCATAAGCAGTCAGGGCAGAGAAGGTGCAATACGGCAACATCCGTTCTTCAGGGATATTGACTGGGAGGCACTGGAGCAGCTCAAAGTTAAACCACCCTTCAAACCAAAAATTGTAAGTGATTTTGAATCAGCAGTCTTTGTATTTAGTCCATACATTTTAAAACAACAGTTGGCACATATAGAGTACTACAGTGTTGCGTCACAATACCACGTGATACTACTACTTCGTTTCTATCGGCAACACAAAATGCGGTCAACTGATGCCATTTTCTCCACTGACAAACTATTGATCCGAATTTCTAATGTAATTATTAAGAAGTTCTATCTTAATTTTTTTTTTGTAAATATTAATTTACAAAGCCTATTCTAAACCCTTAAGATTACGAAGCCATTCAGGCGTAATGAACGGTAACCAACGTCCAAAAGGCGCCACCTGGTGTTGTGACGACACGACTGTGGTACTCTATAGATATATAGCGCTATTTTCCACAAGTTACGGGAGCCTCCTGGAAATAGGAACGGCCTCCTGTACTCCCGAAACTGGACAAGAGTCTCCCGGAAATAACCCATCTCCCGCAAATTCATTAAATCTGCATTTTTTTTACTACTGTATCACCCCTTCATTATGATATGTCTCATGTAAGTTAGTGTTGATTTGGTATCACCATGAGATGCAGCTTAGCTCAGTCAGCTAAACTGTGTGTGGGTGCTGATACGTTGAGATCTCTAGGTCCCCGGCAGTTCTATTCCCATCGCTGCTCTCCTTGTGTTTCAGCTGGAGTGCTGAAATGCAAGTCACGATTAGCGCACCGTCTTTCGGATGAGACGTTTAAGCCGTTGGTCCCATGTGCACTATTCAGAAAAGAGTAGGGAATTGTCTGCTGGTGTACTGCCCAATCACCACCAGAAGGATATCACTGGAGGGATCCATCCACCATAAGCAGCAAAACAATATTAGATGTGCTTAAGAAAGCTTTTTTAAACAGATCCGGAAATGCCTTTTTCCAACTAGGGACCCCTGTATGTTGCCTGCCAAGTAACTCACTCAGAATGTTTACATTTTATATATTGATATTTGCTATGTATGTAGAGATGTTCTAAAGGTCAGTCTTGGCCCTACTTGATAAAAAACAAAGTCTGATCCTTGTTTTTATCGGTTCACAGAAAACTATGCGAGATGTTAACAATTTCGATGCTGACTTCACCAAAGAAGAACCAAAGCTGACGAAGATTGATCAGAAGGTTGTAGAACACATAAACCAGGCAGACTTTAAGGGCTTCACCTATACCAGAGACGACATCCCACTTAAGGACGCAACCAAGCCACGAGTCACAGAAGAAACTAGCATAGAATAATCATGTTCCACCTTCATTTGCTATTCACAGTGTTCCTTGTCAAATGACAAAAAGCTTTCCCCTCTTCTTGTCTAGGAGTAATGTTGTAGTGATGTAAATTATGTGGGCCTAAGTGCCTAAAGATCATGTACATGTGACGAGAACCTTCTCCGTACGAGAAGGCCGTAAGTACAAGGGAAGCAAATCTTCCTTTGTAGTATGTTCCTTCTTTTCATGTTCTTATTATTTATTCCTTGTCATTTAACTACTACTGGAAGTAATAATTATCGCCTGGCCTAAGTTTACTTGATGAACTTCATGAATAATGGGTATGCATAGGCTTGCATACCAGGCTGGGCTATGACCGACAATTTGTAAAAATATGCGTGTCCTAGTTTACTATTGCATTAGTAACTACATTAATAGAAAAGGATATTAAAATGACTGTACAGTATTTTTAAAGATAATCTTATCGACATATTATTATGGCATAGATAATACACAGATGTCCTGTATAATAAGTGCAGTCTGCATACCATTGCCATCTGGTTGTAGGTTTTATGTATCGGTTTTATGCATACAATTAATTTTAGAAAGCAGAATTTCCCCAAATTGAATGCTAAACCTTTCAAAAATTGAATGTTTGACTTGTGAATTTGAAATATTGACCTAAAATAATGTTATTTTTTTAGAGATGACAATGATATCGTTTATCTATTCCTAACCATGTGTGGTTTGGTTACCCTTTTCACTTATTCAAAGTATCTTTTTTACTTGTAATATATGATAGAGTTAAATATAAAATAATGTTCAATCTATGGAGTCATTCATATACTGTTTTATATTGAATCGCAAATTAAGTTAAGCCGCATATTGTATTATGCCTACTATGTGCTATTTACACATTTACTAGGTTTAATTTTTTTGAATATTAATTGCATACATTTAATTAAAAAATGTAATATTTAAGTGTAATATAATTGTATTTAGATGACATGGACATCAGGGTGGCGACAGTCAGCCTTCATTAACTGGACAGTGCTTTAGTAATATCATACATTATAATACTTTTAAGCTCATTTTTAGTAACAGTGTGATATGGCATATGATACTTTTTGTGTCATTCAAAATTATTTTTTGGATTTTCTCTCTTAAAGGCTTTTCTTTTCGTTGCATGGATATTGTCTTTTTTGCATGTTTCGTATTTTTCAACACCAAATTTCATACAGGCATAAACCATCAGATTTTTGTCTGTCAGACTTGCGTTTCAGACATATCTTGTCAAGTAAAGAATGTCTGTTTGAAGTCAGACAATACTACACTTCATCAGAACATCATTCATCTTCATGAGAATGTGTGCTTGTGTTGGAATCTTGCCTAATAAGTTTAAATAGATTACGGGACAAGGCTAATTACGGGTTAAATTAAAAGAAAGAAATAAACAAACCTCTACACAGGACTACTGTACAACAAAGGAGGGGTAATGATGCTGGGTGGAGAGAGTTACTACCCCTAAAACTGAAATGGGCTTTATGCTTTATGGAAGAGAGCTTCAATAAGCTATTACCATCTCCACCCTCCTTGTGGTGTCTGCCCACCCTTGGCAGTGTCCCCTTCCCACAAGGTTGTCTCCACCTGCCCATATCTCTAAAGGTGTCTCAACAAATACAGTACCATAAGGGTGTTTGTCACCCATTCTCAAAGACTCAGTAGTGAAGTGTTTCGTCAAATAAATGTTCGATCACTAGAAACCTAATCACACAATTTTCAATTTGGTTTGGGGGTGGGGGGAGGGGTGGGGTTTGGAATTGAAGAAACCATCATTTCAAAATAATGTACATAGAATTGCTCTGCAGGATTCTGTAAGTAGCTATAATTTTTTACTGTTCTCCCCTCTCTTTTTAAAACTCTTTGTTTTAATGGCAGAATACTTAGGTATAGCTCATCAATATAATATCATGTATGCAAGATTGTTTTTAACAATGTGTCTGTAATTTCAGCAAAGGAATCATTGTCTTGGCATTTTATTCTATTTTGCGTTATATTTATTCAATATTTATTCATCATGTATTCAATAAATTTATTTAATCACTGTAAATGGTTTTTAGATTGAGGTACAGTAGTAACACATGGCATTATTGCCAGTGAGCACATTGTGTTGGTAATTGGTATGAAGTTAAGCATCAAGTCAATCTTCTCTCTCCTCACGTTGCACTTGCATTTTCTACCGGAGTTCCTATCATATTGTTCAGGTTTGTATATGCCATGAAGTCGTTATCGCACGTTTATTAGGAAGTTTTCAATTAGGCAACGATAAGATGATGGGTCATTCTTCTCAACACAACATTCATTCATCTAAAGCCCATCCGTAATTAGCGGAGGTGTGGCTTGGTGGTTAAGATGCTTGCCTATCAATCCCAGCTTTCTTGGTTCAAATCCTGTTGCACTGGAATTTGTTGTCTCAACCAAAAAAAAAAAAAAAAAAAAATGAAAAGATACAAATCTCCACTATGTAAGCATCATAAGGCTTACTTTATAGGGCATTACATTTTATTTATTAAAGAGGTCCATAATTATCAGGTCACCCACGATAAGCTGATATTCAGGGAATGAAAACTCTTCACATGGATCATTATGTCGTTGGCCTCACTGTCATCTCAAATCGAAAGCTTCCTAAATATGAGTGATATTGAGGGAGCGGTATTGTTAAGTATATGCGTCCAAAGAGTTTTTTTTTTATACAAATCCAATGATATCAGCTTCAGTCATATTTGAAACCAGCTATAAAATGGATACTTGCCCATGTAAATACAATGTATTTACTTACATGTGACTTGCACTGTAAAATAACAGCCAGTAGTGTTATCTTTGCAGGTAAAATGTTCACTCTGACATCGGGCTGAAGATAGTTTCAGTAGAACATAGTTTCCGCTAGACTAAGTTTGTTATATTTTACTGATTGTATATTAGCATATATTAGAGTAGGCCTAATCAAATGAACTTGGTTGCTATTCAATTTTAATCAAGTATTTTGAAAATTTTGGTATAATTTTCACAGGATTCATGTTTAGAATTAAGTATGTGGACTTGCCGGGAGACTTGCCCGACCGAAACGGACTAGACTAAGACTTAACGAAGAAACATGCATGTTGGGCTGTGACGGACTTTTAACTTATATAAGCAGAGTAACGTATCTGCATTGCCAATGTGCTTAATTTTTAAGACTGTAAAGCAAGTGATATTTCTGTATTGACGATATTTCTGTATTGACTTCATATCGACGAATATTTGTAAACTTGATGACAGCTAGCAAGTAGTATTTCCTACGTTTAATTGTGAATCAAGCAGTGGAAATGGTAGGTAATTACTTGGAGTTTTAGTGAACTGTAGGCCTGAGGAATTTGTAAATTCTGTATCATATCTATCAACTACAGAGATGTGTTTGTGAGATGTATTCAGGTTTTTTTTCTCACTTGTTGTTTTGCATGATGTACATTGTGGAAAATTTTTGTGTGAATTCAGTCAGTAGCGATCTTTGTAATTCTATGTTATAAAACATTCTATATAAGATATATACTCTATAGTATACATATGTAGTGCAAAATATCAGCTGTATAAAATGTAGAATATGTTTTGGCCTTTTTTGGGTTGTTTTTTTTTGGTTTTGGTTACATGTTGCAATATGAGCGTAGCTACGCAGTGGTCTACAGTATGACACTTGTGTACTATTGTACTGTTTCAAGATGTAAATTAAATAGTGTTGGCATTTCAACCAGGAAAATTTGGTCTTAAATTAATTACTGGCATTTTAAGTGAAGACAAAGCATTTTTATGTAGCAGCATATTTTTCTCCACCAATTTGTATTAAAATTTTGTTTTTAAATAGTATACAGTAGCTTTTTTCGGTTATATATTTATAATGTATTTATGCATATTGTTGTGTATTCATGACTACATTATAATATTTTTGAATATTGTGATATTTATGAATATTATAATGAATTCATGAGTCTTATGTTTAATGAATCTTATGTACATTATAATGTTTTTGAATATTGTGATATATTTAGGAATATTATAATGAATTGATGAGTCTCATGTTTAAATGAATCTTATGTTCAATAAATATTATGTTTAATGAGTATAATATTTTATTCATGAATATTATAATATTTACCAATATTATAATGTTTTCATGAATAATAATTTATTCATAAATATTATAATTTTTCTTCATTTTCAATATTATGTTACTGTTTTGTTGCCAATTCCCTTTATTTTACTCATGCTGAAATATTGTTGCCTTTTCTTATTAACACGTTGCCTGCCACTAGCGTGGTGTAGAATTCTTGCCCATGTACAAGACATGTCTTTGCTCATAGTTGTGCTCAAATTTTACCCACCAACTATATCCTCATGGGTCTTTTATAATTTATTTCAGGAAATTTATATCCTACAAGAAAACTCGGTAAAACAGGTTTTTAAAAAAATATAGTAATTTAATAATAATTTGTATAATTCCTAAATTAGCCACTACACAAAGGGGCACAATTATATCATTTATTTTCTGGTTATAACAATCACTGAAGTGAGATTATTTTGCAGATTTTGTCGTCACAATTTGAATGTACAGGTATTTTATTAATTTTTATTTTTTACATACAAGATTTTATAATTTTGGGTTTTTCCCCAACTTCCAGCTAAGTGTTTGTGGTACTAAATGCCAGCATATTTCAAATTTTAAAAAAATTTATTTTCTACAAGATTATTGGTAGGGCGCCCTCTGGATCTCTGAGTAACACAAGTCTACTTGTGCATGGCAGGCAGCGTGTTAGTATCTTAGATGTCTGTTTTACCCAGAAACCCCTAGTATCATCTGGCTTCTACATTGCTATTACAGTATATTGGCTGATATGAATTTGCTGATGTTTCATTGCACAGACTGTTTCCCAAAATTTCTTACAATATAGACAATTATTTAACACAAAATGGACACAAGAATTGAGTAATTGTTAATACTACTGATTAACAGGTACTTGGGTGCTTTTATATTACTCTTTATTGCAGTGTTCTCTCTCTTATTCAACATTAACCCCCTTTAAGCCGGTTTTACACTAAGCGAATTCATTCGCCCAAATCGAAAGTGGCTGTTCTATCGGAGTTTTTCGCTTCAGCGAAATCAGTAGTATGAATTGTTTCTACTTTTGTGAAGTGAAAAAAATGCGCAATGAATCGGAGCTCAGGAAGCGAACCGACGCTTTTGATTTGCGCGAATATATTTGCCTAGTGTAAAACTGGCTTTATGGTATTTTGTAAGCTGCCGTAGATGCTTTCCTCAATGTGCTAGGATGCTTGGAATCATTTTACATAATAATGTATTGTATAATGATATCTAGCGTGCAATGTCCACACTAAGAAGGTTTTTGTGATTTTACATGTATGGGTGTGATATGCCATATATGGAAACACTGCACAATGACTTTCCCATAAATGGGCATTGTGGTGTCCTATCACACCCATATATGGGCAAATTGCACACAAAACTAGTGTGGGCAAAGCTTTCGTGGCTCTCTCACCAGCTGACTGTACAGATGATACTCTATTCAAATCACTGAGAAATCTGGCTGTGTGTTGTATCATGATCTGTAAAGAAGATTGTAGGATGAAGGATGAAATGAGGGCTCAAATTTAATCAGCTGGTGAGAAAGTTACTTTCAGACAGTGAAGAAGCCAGATTTAGTAACAGGTGTGTAATGTGCAATGAAGCTAGATTTTAAGAAAATGTTTTGACCACATTTTTCAGTATAAGAGTGCTAATGAATTTTAAAAAGAAAAAAGAAAAAAAGATTGGCTTTCTTAAGTGCAAGACAGTGAGCTGAATAAGCAAATCATCATCTTTTGAAAACCATTACTGATCTTCATTTTGGTGTTTCAATATTTCACCTTTGACCTATTTACACACTTGTAAGAATAAATGGAGCATTTTGTTTCTTCTGACCAAATCTTGATGCCTGTCTTTAGTTTCAATTATTTTGTGTATAGTTTCTACCAGAACGAACCTGCAGAAGGAACTTACCTTACTTGTATCCTATACCCTGGAAGCTAATGCTTTGTTAGTGTTTTTTGGCTGCTGCTGGGGCCTGTATTTTATTTGTTTACCAATGTATTGGTAGCCTACAATTCTAGACTTTTTTTCAATTGGCAACTTAGTTTGAATCTTTGTTGCTTCCATGTTGTAAGCCACAAATTATTTTCATTTCTACAAACACATTATATATGACTGGTTGAGACTCCTTCTGGTTCTTAAACCTCAGTTGTATTTTGGCTGACCGAAGTTGGCAAGATTGACAGCAGTTGTTTGGCTTAGCTTTCTTCATTATGAACAATGAAACATTTATTGAAATGAAATATTTATTATTTTGTTCCATATAATTTCAGCAAATTCAAGTTGACATAATTTTCCTTGATATATTAACAGCAGCATAGCTAGACGAGAACTGGCCCTGGTGTAACGCTTATTTGCCAGACCCTTTGAGTTGAAGCATCAACCGAGGGCAGTAGGCCCGAGTGCTGGAAACCCTCAAAAGCTCCGATGTATTTACAATTTGAGGATAATAACTTTCGTATCTATTTCAAGAGGGGTCAATGTGGTCTTATAAGCTAGTTCTAAATTAATCAAGAAAATTGGTGGCACGTGAAATTAAACAATTGAAATAAACACAGTATTCAATACTTGCTCCTCTACAACCTAGTCATTTTCTGTTCAAAAATATTAAGTTGGAAACTATTTTTTAGCCTATTTATGAATGGGCTCCTGTACTGCCCATCCCTATGCCACTAAATACAAATTGTACAACCTGCTGAAACCTTTTGAAAGAAAAACAAAATAAACACATTTTATAAATTGTTTTGGTTTTAATTAAAGATTTAATCAAGTTTTATATAATTTTCTTTTTCTGTTTAACCAATTCAAGTTGTCTTATGTAATTTTCCTTGATATTAAATAAAAATTGTACAACCTGATCTTCAAAAACTTTTAAAATACCATAAAACTAAAATTTACCAAACTGGGGAGGGGGAAAGGTGTGAAACCACCCTTTCTTACCACCTTTTACCCCAGTATTCCAAAATCTGTACCTCATTAACCATTCCCAAGTTTCTCAACAACATCAAAAATTGTTTTTCCTGTGGATCCTACCTTGCTTGTAATTTGTAAGCAAACCCAGTACATCATACTTCTAAATGCTGGAAAGAACTTTCTTTTGGGACTTTGTGCCATTAACATTACCAATCCAGGTAATACAGTATTTATCAAATACATTTTTTATATTTAACAATGAACATAACCTTAAGATAGTATTCTTCTGAAGATGATTGAAGCCACTCAATTGAAATGTTACAACGTTCTCAACGAACAACAGTTTTTCAAGCATCAAATATATTATTACTTTGCCATGCAAACTTCCAAATTTTGTTTTTTATTTCTCATCACATAGCTTTAAATTTAAGATAGAATGACAACTAAGATGTTTTATGAACATTCATAGAGACAAAGGTATAAATAATTCAGTTTACATTCATTCAAAGATTTTATACTGTGAAACTATACAAAATATAAATTATTTTTTCATTTCTTAATTAGTGAAGAAAATATTTTCAATTTAAAGCAAACATTCAAAGAATTGAAAACATTGAATTTTAATTTATTAGTACAAAAATGGTATGTCAAATCCTGAAAATTACACCCTCCAAGATGATGGTTTAATAACCCATTAGAACTGGGGTGTCTAGAAAACTAAGACATAAGATATCTTAGTTTTCTAGATCTAGAAAACTAAGATATCTTATATCTTAGTTTTCTAGATCTTAGTTTTCTAGACACCCATTAGGACTGTAATTTATGTGATAAATATTTAGAGTCAATTCAGACCCTCACTCCATAAAAGTTGGACATGTACAGATTACATTTTATAGTAAAGGATAGCTACTCCATCCAGAACACACACTAGTCTTAGGGTATTCCACGTGTTTACAGGAGGAGACTCACTAACAAATTATAGTTGTACAGTAGTTGTATTATTATTATTCTCTTTACAAATCAATAGAATATCATAGTTGCCGAATCACTACCATAAAAAGGGCCAAGTAACATTACAGTATCTTAAATGAAAATTCTACAAATCATATACTCCTTCCTTGCATTTTCCAATTTATTTATCTACTCTCATCATCACCACCATCATCATCATCATTGTCATCTTCTTCTAAATCATCTTCACCTGATGAACTATCTGTATAATAACTGACAACTGGATGATTAGTATTAATGAACAGGTCAGAATCATCATCGTCATCCTCTTCATCATCTGAACATTCTTTTTGCTGTTGCTGCCTTAGTAAATTTGCCTCTGTTTCCACTGCTTTCTTTGTGAACTCTTCCGGCCTATAAAAAAGTACAGCATTAATTGAACACAAGCATTCAGTGACACCTACTACATTCGTTCATTTCGTTTAATATTTCAAGAGGAAGTCCCACTCAGCAAGGCTTATTTTCAGGGGAGTCCTCATCACAACAAACAAGTTACAAAAGAGACACAAAGCAGAGCAAACAGCAATTTATAAAAAAAAATAAATTTAAAAAAAAAGGCCAATGAATTTTTATAGTTTTTTTAAATATAGTATAAAAATATATCATTAAACTTTAATTGTTTTGATTAATCAATATAGTTGTGCGAAAGCTTAATGTTCCTTGTGTATTAAATCAATTGTATGGTGGCCATTTTATATTCCTTATTTACCTGACCCCAGGGATTTGTTTTTCCTTTATTCATTTTATTGCATCTCATCATAAAACACCACAATACAGAAATTTTCAAAACAGAAAAACAGATGCAAAGGATGCCAGGATCCAAACTTAGAGAAATGCCCTGACCACAGCACATTCACCTGAAGAAGACCACTGTGTGGTCGAAAGCTTGTGGTTTAATAAATTTGTTAGTCTGAAAATTCTTTTTGCTGTCCTTCATTTACTGATTTTTTTTGTAAGCAATGCAAATATTTTTTGGGGTATAAAAATATTCATGCAATTTAATGCTGATACAGATTAACATATTCAAAGCCATGTCATACCATGTACCATAATCCTGGGTGGAGGCAGAAAAATGTAGGTAAAGTCAAGAACACCAGCAAAATTCACAGCTAATGTTTAAACCTCCATCCTCAAGGCCAAGAGACCACAATGCAATTGCTTTGAAAAAGCGTTTTTCTCTCTGTATTGCAAAATTGTGTTATTAGCTTTTTTATCGAACCATGGTCACACATATGGATATGCAAACTTATACTGAGCGACCCCCCCACCCCACCCCTGGGATTTTACCTGCTGCCGTAACTCACCATTTTCCTTCTTTCTGTATATATTTCACCTGTTGTGGGTAGAGGATCCTTACAATTTCTGCTTTCACTTTATCACCCTCTGCTATAGGCTCGACTATCACATAATCACCTGATTAAAGATAAAATCATGACATTTCAACTTGCCACCAAAAACCCCTTTTTTTCTCAAAGCAATTAAATTAATCAATTTAATTTTAAAAGTTTTAGCTCAATAGAGTTTAAAAATGTAATCAAAGAATTGACATTTTTTATGCCAAAATGAGCTGCAATATTACAATTTTGAAAAGCGAAAGAAATAATTTAACCCACCTCTTTTTATCCATACATTCTTTCGGAATTTTTTTGGCATGCTAACCAGAAACTTGTCCTGCTTGGCGGTAACTACTTCGTGTAGGTTGTTTCCTCTGCCAGCACATATCTAATATTGCAAAAACAGAAAAAAAAATAGATAATTTTTTTAACAGCTGGGCAAGTATGGCATTTGAGAAATGTCCTCCTTCCTCCCCTCCAATGAGGAAATGGGAAATTGCATATACAGTACAACAAGCTGTGCTTACTGTAGCATGTTGCCAGAATTTAATTTTAAAAAATACATTACTTTACATAAACTTCAAGTTTAAAGTAATAACAACAGTACATACATTTCAAATCTTTTCCTAATGAATTCAAAACGACTTTATCAGAGCACTTGTGCGAATACGTTAAAATTCCTCACTAGTCTATTTTCGAAAGTATAATACATACTCCAAGTATTGAAATACACGCCATCGTGTTGGGATTCAGAAAATAGTCTATTTTCTTATTTGGAAATGGTAATATGAATGTGGGAAAAATTTAAATACAGTAAACCACAGGAATAGAAGAGGTTAAACATAAACTTTTCAATTAATTATTAACTGTATGAAAACTGCTTACCATATAATTACTAAATTATTTCCTCATCATAAATTTTGAGGACATAATATTAACATTTTGACACATTTCTAAAATATAACATACCGTAATTAAACCATGCAACAATTGAAATAAAACAATATTTACTTAAAATTGAAAAAAACATGGCAGTCAATCAATTTAAAATAGATGAAATGATGTGTTTAATCAACCCTGGCCTTAACTTCCACACACCTTCACAATCTGTTGATTTTCTTCTGGCAACACAAAGTCATCTAAAACTTCCCTGGTGACATGCTTCCGTTTAGTTGTTTTTGACATAATACTCTTCTTTCTTGTAAAGTTTTTGTACTAACTTCTATTTCCACTGATATAGGCCTAGGGGGCCTAGTCCTATCGTCTTATAATCTCACAAAATAAGAGTTCTGGGCCTCTTTGGGTGGATATTAACTTTGACAATGATAATCAAAATCACAATATTAATAATAGTACTCTCAATGTATTGCACAGTTTAAATAAGCCCAATCCTTCCAGGGCGGTAGATTTACACACAAGAATTTGCCTAGGCCTATCTAACCTAATCTCACGTGCCCCACGGACGATCCGAACGTCACTATCTCTCGTTGTCAGTTTCCCTTTTCGGTTATCGTGGGCTAGGCTAGCCGAAAGTTCTACATACAAGTAGGCCCAGGTACGATTCTTACAACGCCATAATTGAAACCAGTCAGTAAGTTATTTCGTTGATGAAGTAGTATTTAAATTGATTACAACTTGAGAGCAGAAATAACAGAAAGCTTTGAAAGTAGATGGACACATGTTTGTTGTTGAGTAACAAGTTAAAAATCGAATTGTATTGCACAAGGTGGAGTAACACAACGTAAAAGATAACAAATAGAACCAGTTGACAGAAGTTGCTGACGCGTCAACAGATCGACTTTAATCCTCGCGACTCGCGCTCTAAACCGGGGAATCACTAGTTGGGGCATACAACATTCATAGCACTAAACATAAATGTAAAAATGCAAATGTTTTCTGGCTGACTGGAAGAATATCACTCTGTTATGCTTATAAATTAATTATAATTGTTTTACTACATTTTTTGACAATTTTGAATATTTCATTATAAAAAATAATTATATTGTAAGCATTTTGTGTCTTTTTTTGTGAAGGGCCACCGGCACTCGACGGTGATTTTAGTTTACTTTTGGGGTGTCCTGTCTCATATTTGTATAATTATTATTATTATTATTATTATTATTATTATTATTATTATTATTATTATTATTATTATTATTATTATTTCATTGTTATTAATCATTATTATTTTTATTATTATAATATTGTTATTATTATTTCATTGTTATTAATTATTATTACAGTATTATTATTGTGGGAAACAATTAAGACCACTTTTGCAGTTCTCCATCAGTGCTGTATCTAGTCTTGAAATGGGGGTGCTGATGGGGTGTGCGCGAAGGTAAAGTGGGGGGGGCTCAATGATCAGTTGAGGGGCTAAGGTGATTTTATGTGATTTTTAATTACTTGCAAGTGATTTTTTTTGGGTGGGGCGGCGACTGGGGCGCGAGTAATTTTTGAAGGGGCGTGTGCCCCCCCCATGCACCCCTAGATACGCCACTGTTCTATACTAAATGTAAATAAGTCACTCAACAATGATGCGATACATTATACATTAATTAAAGAAATCAATTTGTAATGAAAGACAAATATATTCTAGTAAACTTGTTTAAAACTTCAGACCACCTAGCTATTTATGTAAAATTAATAAGGTTCAAAAGACGAAATTGATTAACCAAAATACAGAATAGCCATGTATTGGTATTTGTAGTATGAATAAAAGAGCTGCAAAAAAGAAGAAGAAAAGCTTGAAACAAATAAAAAAGTAAAAAAATATATAAAAAGAATACCATGGAAGCAATAATCTGAAAATACATAATATTAGTACTGTACTACAATAGAGTCAACGCATTAATATTCACGTTAACGCGTCGCGTCGTACTTACGGTTTGATGAATGGTGTGATGTGGCACTACGCTACGCTACGCTTAAAAGCGGTCTGTTGTGTGGAGTTGACGATAACGGCAAATAAATACAGGAAAATAAGGTTAATTACAGCATGAGTTTTTATTTCATGATGATACGTTTTGTGTGTTGATTTTTAGGTCTATAAAACAACAAATATTAAAGGAATATTATGCCTAAATAGGCCTAGGGCCTAGGCCTACGTAGCCTAAATTCTAAGGGCTGGGCTAGGCCTAGGCTGGGGCTGAGCGGAGGCTTGCTTATGCCAACTAGGCTCAAGGCCTAGGCCCAAAAAAATACATTAGGCTAGGCCTATGTAGGCCTATGTGTAAACATAATCTAATAATATTTAATAAGTTAATATCAATATTGATAAGTAAATTTGAATGCCACATTCTACCTAAATTACTGAAAGAAAACTTGGTTAGATGATGTCCATACTGCATGTTCAGTCTACAGTTTGAAACAGGTTTGAAACAACGTTTGTGGCTCAAAATGAGCAAAAAAGCTCAAACTATACACAACATACAATAGGCCGAAATACACCGAGAGTAGTCATCCTCTTTCTAACTTCGGCAATAAATTAAAACGGCAATGACCAAAATGGCAATAACCAAAACGGCAGTAAACCAAAACGGCAATGATAAGTACCATTTCGTCTGTATTTTAAAGTTTGATTTATTTTTATTTTGTGTTCCCCAATCTTTTTATTAATTTTGCGGTTTATGGCCGCTTGGGTTTATTGCCGTTTTGAATTATTTCCGTTTTGTTCCATTGCTGTTCTGGTAAAAAGGTGTTGCCATTTTGGTTTATTGCCATTTTGACATGAAAGCAGACAAATACTGTATACATATTTTAGATGATTTTATACAATCGACACACTGCATACCGAAACTTTGTATTTTATAACATATTTCTATTAGTTTCTGCTTGAAAGGTGTGTGTTTTGTTCATACCCAGTTTACAAAAGTTTACCTCCTATTGTATTGCTGCAATGGCAAAAGAGGATTCAAAAAGGAGAAGAAAAATTGAAACTGCAAAAGAAAATCAGTAATTCAATTTCAAATAAATGAATGGCTCTTAAAGACATATTTGCTATATAATCCTGCTTATAAATTGAAATAAAATAAGTGGGATGGATAATTCCTGGGTTTTTTTTTTTACAATTTTACAAACTGGTAATGTTGATCATTTTGCTTTTTTTCAGATGCTGTTTCCTTAAAGATTAGCATCCAGATAGATTCAAACACACAGCAAATACGACGGAATGCCAATGTGATTCTTATTTACCGTAGCAACGATTCTTTGATGATGGTGATTATGTCGGTTTTAGAACTTGTTAGCCTGACGATTTTAACACAGATGAGCATTGGGGCGGGAGACTTCTTTAATGATGATGCTCTCTTCCGATTGAAGTGGGTAGACAAGGTACACCCACTTGTGAGTAGGATTTATGTTAATTTAAAATAATATATTTACTATCATCTCTTTCAAAATATAGTCACTATAATTGGGCTGCAGCACTAGTTGGTGATTCTTTACCTTCAAGGTTTCTTCCATAAATGGAGATTTCTGGTGGGAACATTTACTGACTCTTTACTTGATCAGGGCATGGAATACAAACTATGTTCTAAGCCAAATATACCTTCAGTTTTACAATGCATATACTGACTTCTCCCTCCTCCTCCTGTTATTTGTTGTTGAGGAAATTAAATTTTATTATTACTATTAAACTATTACAAATTTACAAATTCACATACAAAGGCAAAACATCAAAATTGGGAAGGGGTACAGCTTTTCTGATAAGCTATGGTTATATAGTTATAAGGAGCTCAAAATGAAAAAAAAACGCACAAAGAGAATAATGGAGGCGATGGATGTCACAAACCAATAACGGGTAAACACAAAGATGCCAAAAACAAGAAATAAAAATGATGTAATCATTTTGGGTTATGTTTCACTATCTAGGTTGAAGAATTTTCAGAAGAGAATTCAGTTGTCATGACAACAGCAGAGAATGAGCAGTATCGTTGCTTTTTGCCAGATTCTGGAAGTGAAGAGAAGAAAAAGACAGCTTATACAGGACCCTCTGCTAAAATTGTATTAAAACCTCTTTTCAAATCAAAGGCATGTGTGCTCAAGGTATGCACTGGATTTATATCCATTTTATTTTGTTTAATACTCTGCCAAAAAACGTTATGTATTCACCGTTGTCTGTCTGTTAGCAAGATTACACAGAATTTAATTTAGGAAGAAAAAGTCAAAGGAAGGTCATGAATATTTGATTTTTTTTTTAGCTTAAAAGAAAATAATGGTGTCACCCCCTCATAGTATTCAGGCACAGGCTGGAGGTATGTTGCAGCCCTCAAGAAAATAATGTTCTTGAATGCGATGGACGATTCCATTATTTTCTTGAGTGCTGTACCTGTAAAAAAAAGTGGAATCACCCATCATACATGGCATGCATACTGTTGGTATGCAAGCACAGGGCGAAGTTTTGCACTCGAATAAACTGGAGTGACTGCTCCAGTTTATATAGCGTCATTTCCATTGGTTACAAAATGTTTAATTTCCTGGTCATTAGACACAACTCTCGGCGTTCAATCCTTTAATTGGATGGCTAATGTTTTTTCCTCTGCACCAGAATAAAAAAAAAAAAAAAGATTGGCATCCTAATATGTGGCAAAGACAAGCCAAACCAGTCACTCATCACAAAAATCAATTTTTAGTAATAATTATAGAGTTAAACAGTAAAATGAGAGCTACAGTATAAAATGGTAAAAGAATCATTTAAATCGAATTTGAATTTATTCGGTGTAAACACCAAGGATAGCCCACGAAAGTCTAGAAGAATTATTTTCAGTGGGGTCCTTCTGGTGGTGATTGTGCAGTACACCCAGAGACAATCCCCTACTCTTTTACGAAGAGTGTACTGCGTTCTTTAACGCGCACATGGGCCATTAATGCACACAGGACCGCTATTGTAACTTGTATCTCAGCCCTCCAATTTCAGGAGCTTAAAAATACAGCTATTTAAAGAACAGTATTTGAGAAATCGGCCTTCAGAATTTACGATTTCAAAGATTTCTCAGGCAGAGACCATTACCAAATCGTTAAAAAATCTTGTCCTAATGTTAAAAAGGGAGAAAAAAACATAGCATGATGTATAGATATATAAAGCTATGAAATAGATTTTGAAAAATGTTGACATTCCAACAAATTTTGGCCATTATCCTCAAAACACGATTTGCAAGAAATGACTGGTTTATCTTGTTTTTCGCCACATACATTGTAATTTACACAAAATACATTATTTGTATTATTATTTCAGCTTGAACCATATTGGACGTATGAATTATGCCATGGAAAGTTTTTACGTCAATACCATGAAGAAAAATTGCCAGGAAATGTAAGAAATTGTATTATATAATGTTGTTATGACCTTACTTTTTACTTACTGTTTAAAAAAAAATTTTAATAATTCCCTGTAATACCTTCTGACCGAAAATAAACAACAGTCATGTTTATTTTGAATGTATTTTCAAAATGAATATTGATCTTTAGTTTGTATACAAAATGTTAAAATTATTTATGTTGTTAATTAAAATTTATATCTTTGGCTTAATTTCAATTGACAGTTATCCTTGCGTTTTTACTTTCAGAATGTGAAGTTACTTGAATACTATTTAGGTTATTATGAAGCTCCATCAGTAGTGCCAAGTCCCTCTGACCTGGTAAGAATTATCTTCACTATCACTGTTATTAAAATAAATAAATTGAGGTTACTGACCATTGACCATCAGAATGTACTTTAAAATGCAGCCAATGATCGTTAAAATTTACTTTTTGTTGATGTGGGAGTCATGCAGAATTTTAAAATACCAAAAACTCTGTTTTGGATTTATCCAGCAAATGGTGGGTTTTGCCAGAACAACATATTTCAATCTTTATTTGTTTGTCTTCAACAAATAGGAAAAAAATTGAATTAAAATGTATCACTTTTTTTAAAATTATTTTTCATTAATTTCAGATTCCAACAAAAAAAATCGATGGAAAAGATATACCCTATTATGAAGTATTGATGTCGAATGGTACACTTTGTGACATTAAAGACAAGAAAGCAAGGGTAACACGCCTTCGGTACATTTGTGACTTGCAAGGACGTAATGAGATGGTTAGCCTAGAGGAAGTCAGTACCTGCGAATATGAGGGCCTAGTACTCACACCAGCCCTCTGTTCTCATCCAAGCTATAAGTTAGTTGATTCACTTGTTTATTTTGTTGTTAATCTATTCATTTTCATTGTTCTTAAGCTTTTTTTCCCATTTTTTTCTTTGTTGTTAATTTTAAGACAAAATTCAGTTATTGTACTGCTATGTTTTTAAAATGCTTTGATTGAATAATATACCATTATCATAATGGTGATGTTCAGTTTTTTGGCCCTTCACATTAATTTTCTTTGGTCAATAGATGTATAAAAACCATCTCATGTGGTGCTCAGGCTTTCTATTCTGCTGCATTCATCTAATGTAAAGAATTTAGATTCGCTTCAATCATTTAAAACACTGCTCAAAACTCACCTACCATACATATTTTTTGAAAAAGAAAATGGATATTAAACCCCCATTTTTTACAAAATATATTTTTTAGCTGTTCATGATACCTTTTCAGACACCAGAAGTAGTTACCGTAACTGCTCAAATAAACGCTGGATTTTTGGAGGCAGTGCTTATAAAAAAATATTGGCGTGGGGCTTTCCATGCCCATTCCCATGTTATGGTTCGGTAGGCCTACGTCACCGTAAATAAACATTTATAAAGAAATGCTTGTGTCTTTGTTGTGTTATTTATTCATTTTAACACTATTTAAAACCCTGTTTCTCAAAGTGTTTCATTACAGACAGGTTAATATACTCTTGCTTAAGCGTTGCTTATTTGAGAGCAGCATTTGTTCGAGAATTTAAGGAATTTAAGTTTGATGTTGCCTGTCATATGCAAGAAGAAAAAGACACCACTTCAATGTCTTAGAATACTCATTCGTACAACATATTTCTTTTACTTCGGGAGCCTGGCTTTAAGTATTTTTCTTGATTTTATAAAAATTGTATATTAACTGTTGATCTACCATTTACAATTTCATTCCAGAGTTAAAGATATGCCAGAAAGTAATATTAATTGCCAGCCGCTGACTGGTTCTCCTGTGTATCCATCTGGATATCAAAGATTAAATAGTGCAGACACACAAAACCAATATTCACCTGTTAAGGTAATGTGTTTATACAGTGTTTATTTAAGTTGAGAGAAGTAGTATACTGGTTGTTTATTTGTTTATGAAAGTCATCTTATTTTCTATTGTTGAATCCAATGAAATTCAAGCTTTTGGATGTAGCATTAATTTACTCCTGTGTAACATTTATCTTTTGTGATTTGGTTATTACTAGGTAATCATTTAAAATCCTGGGTGAAAAAGAAACCTTAACTAAAACATGTTTTTTTTTTTTTTTGTAGCCCAAGCCGGTAAGTCAACCTCGGTCTTCATCGCAGCCTACACCGAAGGTTTCACCTGTACCAATACACCCTGTAGACACCTCAGTTGTGGAGTCTTTCTTGAAAGGAGAATACTGCTTAAATGGGGTAAGACTTGTAATTCTGCACTATATCATTTCAGTGCTAAAAGCTGGTACAGTATTAACTCAGAACACTCAATACATGTTTAATTTAATTACTATCTCAATTTTTTCCACAGTATATGCTGCAATAGATATTTCCAGTGTGTCAATCAAACTTAACAATTGACCAATCAGAACAGGGGCAGGGATATATGCATGTATCACAAACACACGTTTTGTGGGACCTTAGCAACAATATCCAAGGGGTGTGGCTTAATAGAACAGTTCATTTCTAGGGTTGGCATTGCATTCTAATATTTTGGAAACTTGTTTGAGTTTGCATGTATTTCCAGAGGACAACAAATTTTAATTTTTATTAGACTTCACTGGGAGTTTTCAAGTCATTCACTTGGTTCATTTTGTCTATTTAGTGAACACTTACCTAGATTAACCTAATAATTGCCTATACACTCTCAAGTGAGAACACTTGTCTTGCGAAAACGATTGAGGATGTTTTATTGGCTGCTGGGGTACTCATTGCACCATGAGTTGAATGTTCCATTGTATTTTCAAGGGGTGTTCTAACTTGAGAGAGGATAAACAATTATTTATCCTGGTGAGTATAGAGTACAACAGTCGTGTCCTCACAACACCAGGTGGCACCCTTTGTCGTCAACTAGACATTGGTTGCCGTTCATTACGCCTGAATGACTTCATAATCTTAATGGTTTAGAATAGGCTTCCTGGAATAGACATTTTAAAACCTAATAATTTACCATCAAATGTACTAAAAACACAAAAGCTTGCATTATAATAATATTAGTTACAACATCTTAATAATTACGTTAGAAATTGGGATCAATGGTTTGTCAGTGGAGAAAGTGGCATCCAGTTGAACGCATTTTGTCGCTGATAGCAACGGAGTAGTATCATGTGTTATCGTGATGTAACATTGTAGTACTCTATGTCACTCATAGACTATCAGCATCATTACTGATTTGTGTAATCTTGTTTAAATAATTTAGACAATAGATTTACAATGTATTAATGTTATTTACTTTTACTTTTGTAATTTATAATTGCAGGGTGGAAGGGAGTGGTGGAAATACACATTTTGCTATGGAAAATATGTGCAACAATACCATGAGGTAAGGGGAGATATACAAAATATAAACTTTTAATTTTCATATTTTATATATCTTTGGTTATGCATTTGTTGAAAAATTGGGCAAACATTGTTTTTTGACAAGTAGTTTTTGAAACACATAATCGTAGAGCAACATGAACTAGAATTTGAAGAAAGTCAATTCAAATTCACATTATGGCCAAAGGATAAATTAATGAATTGATAATCAGTGTGTTAATAGGAGTGTTTGAGGCCTATTTTTTCCTAGACCTGCTTGTTGTAGTCTTTAATAACAAATTGATGTAGGCCTAGGCCACCTAGCAGCCTAGAGTACTGTCAAGTCGTAGATTAAATCATCACATGATCTTACATTTCTGTACTGACCAAAAAAAGGTGATTATTATTTTCAAAGCTTGATGACATTTTTATTTCTCTGACAAATGTCTAGTTAATGATAAACTCATGAAAAGTTTATCATTACAATCAAATTTATTTGCCATACTGAACACATTCTACTTCAATTTCAACTGTTTTGCGTTAACATCTGTTAACATTATCAATGTTTTCATGCATTAAAATCTAATCTTTGTATAATAATTTCCTCTAGTGTATATGTGTAAATATACTAATTGTGTATTATGCAAAAACTAATGAATGGATCATGAAATTCAGTGTAAGAGTAGAAACTGGTCTAGAAAGAGGTGATTACATTTAAAGGTGAAAGGACAAATGTCATAATCATGGAGAGTTGAAAATTCACATTAATTAATTTGAGGAGTGAGGTATGCACTATTTGTCTAAAAATGATACTCATTCTTTTTCAAATCCTTCAAAATACTCTTATTTGATTGTCTACATATTTTTTTCTTTTTTCTGTTTAGGAAAAAGGTGGAGTTCGATCAAGCACAATAAATTTAGGAACATGGAATGAAGATATACATATAAAATGGTATCATTCACCTGAAAGGTTAAGAACAACAAGTTTAACGTAAGTCAGTCAATCAATCAGTCGATTAATTAATCAATCAATCAATCAATCAGTCAGTCAATCAATCGTTCCATTTATTTGGCACCATTCCAACAGTTGGTCTACATTTCTTATAATTAATAAATAAATTTCTGTACCATAAAACTATAATGATAACAATGCAGTGAAAACAAGACATGTTTAATAAGTGCAGACCTGAAGAGATCTGATTTTGAAAGATGAAAAATGATATCGACAGGGTGTGATTTAAACCTGCAACATCAAGGTCAAGATCTTAACCGCAACTGCCGCACCGCTTTCATGTAAATTTAAAACGTTAAGTTATCTTTCAAAACATTTAATGCTGAAAATAATTCTTTTGTGTCCAGTGCTGTTTGCTTAAGAATTGCTTCATTTTCCTTCTAGAACTATCTCTCAATTTTATGGGAATGGTGATATATGTGATGTTACTGGCAAAGCAAGGCAAGTGCTAGTGAAGTTGAAGTGTAAAGAAACGTTAAGGCTACCTGCAGTCTCGCTCTCATTACACGAACCAAAAACCTGTGATTATATTTTATTAGTAAGTACTTTCAGCTCTGTCCACATTACCAAGTGTTATGATATCATATTGGTGTTATGATGTCATATTGGTGTTCATCATGCCCATAAACAAAAAAAACCCATATGTGGCAAAGAGAAGCTAAACTTGTCATTCCTCGCAAACAGCAAACAATTTTCTTAGTTTTTACTACATTGTTAAACAGTAAAATGAGAGCTATAAAATGGTAAAAGAATCGTTTAAATCCGACATTTCGTTATGAAGTTACAGGAGTTTAAACATACAGCTGTTTAAAGAACAATATTTGAGCAATCTGCCTTCAAAGTTTACGATTTCGAAAATTTCTCAGGCAGAAACCATCACCAAATCGTTAAAAATTGTTGTTTTATCATTGAAAATGGGGAAAATAACAGCATATCATGATGTATAGATATATAAAGGTTAATTTAGTGCAATAAAATTTGATTTCAAATATTTCGACATTCCAGCATGTTTTGTGCCATTAACAGATTTGCGACGAGTGACTGGTTTGGCTTGTCTTTGCCAAATATATTTGTCAATAAACTGGATATCACTTTCCTTAAATCAACCAGAGGTGAGGGGGGTATCAAACTCGGTGCTTGCCATATTACATGGCCCCCTACCAAGATTTGTCTCTTCCGCCAGATCTGCTCTGTTAACAGGAAATGGTTGTTGATCAGAAGTTGAGGTCTACTATCAAATTGTGTAATAAAACACCCAAGTTTAGGCATCTACATGTTAATTTTTTTAATGTACACCTTATCACCAAGCAGTTGTTCCTTAAAAACAGTGAATGATTAAAAATCGGAATTTGAATTATATTTTCTACATGCTAATTTAAACTGAATATTACAACTGTTTGCTGGTGGGAGTTAAGTCAGTTAATCCCAAAACAATGCCTGACATTTAATGCTAATACTGTACAGTATAATATAATATATTTTTTGAAATATAATAATGATGCTCTGCGATTCATGTTGTTCTAAATATATGTTTACTTTATATTATTATTTTCTTTCTTCTCTTTCAGATTGAGTCTTCCATATTTTGCTCTCTAATATCTACAGTCGATGCCCATGGATTGATTAATTTTTCCCCATGAAGTCTTCAACCTTACAGTATTTTAACATTGTATTAGATGATTTTTTTATGTGTCAACTATTTCTATTTTCTCAGTATGACTACCTTCCAATATTCCTCTAACCATTCATGTTTCTTCCAGTTTGAAAAGAAATTATGTTGAAATTTTAATTGAACTTGCATTACAAGTATGTATTCTGTGTGGGATGTAGTGGGAAAATATATAAAATTAAATGAACCTCATACATGGAAGATATTGCATTGTAGGGATTTTTTGTTGGTACATATTCAAGGCAATTCATTTTATCCCTACTGGTGACAGTACTATGGTATTAATTGACACTACATCCCAACACTGTCAATTACAGTAATACCATAGTACTGGTGACAGCACTGTGGTATTAATTGACAGTGTTGGGATGTAGTGAGGGAAATAAAAATAATTTGTGAATTTCCTACAGGGAAGATATTGTACTCCAACCCCAACAAGGGATTCTTTTTTGTAAATTTTAAAGGCAATTTCTTAACCCCTCTAACACTGGGCACAGTACTTTTTTTCATTTTAAATGTTTTTACTGTAATTTTAGTGGCATTTTCAGGCTCTTTGGTTTGCTCTTTTACCGTCTTCGTGACTGGTTCATTTTGTAAAAAAAAAAAAATTTGCCATGATGATAGCAAAAGCTATGTTGAGAGAAATTAGACTATGAATTAAGAAACTGGAGTGTCATGGACAATTAATGATTTTTAACAAAGTAACTAAAATAAAACTTGCCAAAGTCGACTTTGCCATTCTTGATAAATTTCTGTCGATTTTATTTTACATGCCAAATTGTTGTGTTTTCCATTAATTGGCGATCTGTTAGTCTGATTTTATCCAAGTCCAACAATATTTTAATGCCATTTTGGAAATCGACTTAGGCAAGTTCAACTGTATTTTAGCACTTTAAGTTATAAATGTTATAATTATTATGTTTATGAAGGTTAAGATTGAAGTGCACACTGTTTATCATAACATTCATGTGTATTCTTCTGGCTAAATGTCACTGCCTGTTTTTTAAATATTTAAACATTAAAGCAATAATTTTCCTTCATGTATTTTTAAGAAAATGTTTTTTTGATAGTAAATATTGACATTGTCCTTACCACCATTATTTTATTATAATAATTTTCTATTTATCTTAAATAGCTACATAAATATTTAGTTTGGTGTTCTAATCAAAGCTCACTGACATTCCACAACTGCATTTTATTTACAACACACTGTTGGATACTTCATATATAATCATTTTTAATTCAGTAGCAAAATGATATTTTTAGAGAGTTGTAGTTCTCTAATATTTTTATAATGGAACTCTCAGTATACACAGACATGTGTTAGAAGAATAGTTGGTTTTATTTTTTTTAATATTTTTTTTCTTTTTCTGAATGATCATGTAATAATTCTAACATCTATCTTGAATCATGGATAATGCAAATAATTGTTTGTAGAAAATTACTAGAAAGTGAACTGTAGAATGAAGTTGTATAATATCACAAAGAATATAATTTAAATACAAATTTACACAGATAAAGCCAATTGGTCTAAAGTTCTGTGACAAATAACTGATTTTTCCATATGTATTGGCATGATTATGTGATATCACACCCATATATAGGCATGATGATGTCATGTTATGCCCATATATGGGCAAATTATGCAACAATATGTACTGTACTTGCAATAGCCACTGTCCAACATCACCCTTGTGAGCACTACACACTTGTTTACAACAATATACACAAAATGTCCAATTTTTATGAGTAATTATAACCCAGGAAATTATAAAATTGTAAATGTTACTTAATTTATTTATAATTTGAAAAAGGAAATAAAGAATATTTTAATCTGTTTGCTGCCTTGTCCATTTATTGCATCACATTTAGATTTATTTATTGTCCTGAAAAACATGTCATTAAATTTGGTTTCCTTCCTTGATGCAACAAAAAAATGCCATCAAAAATAGAAACATTCTTAAATTGTCTGTCTTTTCACTGAATGGAGCTGATGTGTATTACAAATGATGACATTAAGAATGGGAGTGTAATGTTGTAAGAAAAAAAACCTATATAAACCAAAAAATAAAAGCCTTTCTCATTCAGATTTTTAATTGTAAATTAATGACGTACTCAACTTCAAGTATGGACTTTCTTCTTCATGGTCCGTTTTCAATCAGAGCCATATATATAAAGAGTTGCGACATTCCGCTCCTTGGTTTACGAAAGTCACGTGGTACACACCGTCCATTTTGTTTCATAATCTTCCCGATGAACACATGCAAAGTATATGTGTTACGTACATTGCATATGAATTTCACACATTTAATTGGGTTTACAACTATATTTTATAATTAACATCACTTTGTATGGACAGCGTATAAGAATTCATATATAATCGAATATTTTCACGCGTGCGTGCTCGCGTAAATTCCGTGCTCGCGTAAATGATTGAAATTAAAATTAGAATTGTTTTCAATTATCGTTAATTCGTCACATTTTCAAGTGTGAAACATTTTTAAAAATGGAGCATGATGGTGAGCAAGTCAGCAGGCGTGTGGTGTTGTCAAGTCGTCCAGGTAGTAGGCCTTCAAAGTAAAGGATTGTATAAAAAATTTGATTGTATTTGTTAACAGTTGGTCCATGGCTTGCTTGGATTATAATGAATTGATAAAAATTGTTCTTTTTGTATCCAAGTTCAGTAGTAGATAGGTAGGCCCTACTGCTGCTGGAGGCGTTGTTTGGTCCACCAGAACCAGGCCAGGGCCAGCCATAATTTAGTACTACTAGGGCCTGGGCCCTAGGTCTAACTAGTACCGTAATATAGTAGGCTAGATAGATAGTATAGCCTACTATATAGATAAGCCTAGGATAAATATGCCTGTTCAAGCGGATGCATTAGTGTGAACTATATAACAAGGGCGAATTTATCCAAAACATTTTTATTTTTGTCTTGTTATTGCTTTAATGCTAAAATGCACATGTAGCCTACCTAAAAATATGGTTGTGAAAGGGTTCTGTTTGGTACTTTAATCCTAGGCCTAGTCTTGGAAATAAATCTCAGCATGAATTATGAATGAATACGCAACTGCAAATTATGTGCAAGAATAAATATCTATCAGCAGAAATAGGCTATTATTTAAACAAATAATAATAATAAGTTGTCAGAAGGAAACAGATAGTTATAGCAAATTTGAATCCCATCTCCCGCAAATCATAATATTTACATGTTTTCACTATTTTATTATTAATTGTTTCGTGGAAGTCAGTGCCGATGGGTATCACCATGTGTAGTAATAAACTTGAAAAGTTATTATTAACCACTGCAGATCAGTGGAGGATTCAAAGGGAGGGACACAACTGCCTAGGCCCCAACCACTGCAGAGCATCAGTTTTATTTTTTGTATTTAACAGATTGTGGCACTATTTCTATAATTTTAAAATTTCTCTTTAGGAGTTGATGGGGTACCGTCTGCTAACAACTTTGCTGTCGAGAAATGCAGCTACCCATCAGAATTAGCTGACGGCAATGTACTGCTGAAAACGCTGTATCTCTCAGTAGATCCATATATGGTAAGTGTAGTGAAGTTGGATGGATTGGTGGCTATCATGCTTCCTGTCAGTGTTGCAGGATTTTCTCATGACCAAAACAACACCACTCCCTAAACCCTCATATCAAGTTTTAGTTTGTGTAAGGCATTGTATGTATACACACATGCATGATGGTTTTGTGAGAAAGGGATTGTTATCTACAAGTAAGATAATGAAAAAAAAAAGTAAGGGAAAAAATATAGAAACTTTTTTGTTAAGATTGAAAACTTCTGCGACTGCAGGGAAACATGATTTTACTTCTTTTTTTATTTCTATGTGTAGCAGGATGGGAAGCATTGGGATTGTCTTGATGTGTGAGCAGTGTACTCTCAATTAAAAACATTTTTACTGGTAAATTTTTCCATAAAAATTTGTGCGCGCAGTGTGAGGCGTTAATACTCCTTTAGAGTGGGGTTTAATGACTTGAAGAAACAACACCACATATATTTATAGCCTAGGCATAGTCTGGAATGATGTTAATTTATTGAAAGAGGGCCAGCCTAGACTACCTAGGCTAGTATTTTTTTTTTATTTTACAAATTCAACAATCTTACTGGTTGGCCGGTTATTTTTACCGGTAAACTTGATGGCTAAAACAGCTTCGGGAGAGCACTGGTGGGAGTATAGAGTACTACAGTGTTGCGTCACGATACCATGTGATATTACTCTGTTGCGTTCAACCGGACGCCATTTTCTTCACTGACAAACCATTGATCTCAATTTTTGGGATCAATGTTATATCTTACTTTTTCTTTGTAATTTTTAATTGATGATTAAATGTGTCTTCGATAACTAATATAATGCAAGCTTTTGTGTTTTTAGTACATTTTGATGGTAAGATATTAGATTTTAAAATGCCTATTCCAGAAAGCCCATGAAGTCAACAACAGAGCACGCCACCTGGCGTCGTGACGTCACGACTGTGGTACTCTATGTGGGAGTACTGTATGTGTTACACTGAGTTTGTAAACAAGCAAACTAACACCAGTGATGTTTTTGTGATTTCATTTTGATGAATATTAAAGATGAACAAATCCATCCTTCTAACATGACCATTGGGGTCATATATGTGCCTCCTGTACATGAAATCACACATCAAATTAGAGATCAATCCCAGGTCTAGTGGAAGAAGCTTTAGGACATTCCATGCAGTATGATATTTTTGACTACTTACCTGCGAGTGCATATTTAAACACAAGGAAAATGGTATTACCTCTTTGGTGCCATCCAAAATCAACTACGGCATGCCTAGCAATTATATGGAACTGTGTGAACTATGTAATTACCCTCACAGGATTTGCTATTTAATATTTATGAGGATATACAGTTGGTAAAACAAATATAACATGGTAAAATTTTGGTCACGCTGGGTAGTAATCCTAATACCTCGGGAAGTATAATTCGTTACTTCACGTCAAAATATGTTGTATTTATGTATAATACATTGTAGATGTAACAAATACAACTGAACTTTACATTTATTTTGTAGAGATGCAGAATGAATGAAGACACTGGAGCTGATTACCTTGGACCATGGAAGTTAGGTGAATCCATTACTGGAGGAGGGGTTGGAGTTGTTATATTGAGCAATTCTGCAAGTCTATGTGTAGGAGATGTTGTTGAGGGTTTTCATTGGCCATGGCAGCACTATGCTGAAATACCTGCTGACCAGTTACAGAAGGTATCAATTGACACTTATTATCTTCATGAGTTTTTACTTTGCCTTATCTTGCAGAGAATATCCTTCTTTATGGGTATGAGTCCTGGGCTCACTTAACTCATTTTGCGCACTCTCCAGAATCTCTCCTTCTAATATTACCTTTGAGTGACCGCTGGCACCCACCATGATATTTATTTTTATATTTATTGAGCGGCTCAACCATGGGTCGACTGAAGAAGATCGGAATGCGTGCAAACTTGCTCGATTGATGTAAGGCCTCTTCTGGCGGATGGACGGATCGACTGCGGGCCATCATTTTTTTAGCACATAATTATAACACAACATTGCAGGGTTTGTAATCTAATTATCTTGTTGACAATGTTTTAATTTTCCAAAATGTTTTCAGGTGGATCCATCTGTAGTAGACGATCGCCATTCATTATTCCTTGGTGCCGTTGGAATGCCAGGTCTAACAGCATTATTGGGAGTACAGGAGAAGGGGCATGTAAAAGCAGGGGGCAAGCAAACAATGGTGATTAGTGGTGCAGCAGGGGCATGTGGCAATATAGCTGGACAGGTAAGACTATCTGAAGGTAGAAATAATTGTTTTCTAATTACTATGTTGATTTTGTAGAGTGTAAAAACAAATGTTTTCGAAAGTTGGCAATATAACTGGGCATGTATGCAAACTGTAGATAAAACCATTTTACTATGTTGTTTTGTTTGTATAAAAATGGTTAAATAAAAAGCTGGCAATAGAGCTAGATGAGTATAACCATCAGCTTAAAAATAATTGTTGTCATAATTGTATTTTTCTGTTAATAGGAACACAACCATTCTAGCATTGTTAACAAGTCTGGTGTAGCTCACTGTATCTAGTGGCACAGAATATTGATATGGGGAAGGGGAGACTGATTGGGGGGGGGTATCCACTGCTATATAAGAGAATGGGTGGGGCTAACATTGAACAAATTGTCGTACGCAATTGAGACTGGCCACCAGCTTAAAAAGGTTGAACATCCGAACTTTAGTCTAATTAACATGGTTTGGCTGTCATTTGGTAGTAGTAATATAAATATAGTAATAAACACAATTTTTGTAATATTTCCTTTGCAGATTGCAATGCTAAAAGGTTGTGCAAATGTTATTGGTATCTGTGGGTTGGAGGCCAAATGCAAATTTCTTACAGAAGATTTGCAATTCCAAGCAGCCATTAATTACAAGACAGAGAGCGTAGAGAAACGGTTGAAGGAATTAGCAGATGGTGGAGTGGATATCTACTTTGATAACGTGGGAGGAAATATAAGCAACATTGTGATTAGCCAGGTAAAGATGCCTTATTTCATCAATATTCTTAAAATAGGTTTCAAGTTTAAAAATGAAGCTATTATATAAAATAATGTGATAGAAGAAGTAGCTGTTTGATGCAATGGGAACGGTTTGGTTTCCCAACTTGGAGGTTGGGGTTTCAATCCCTTTCTGTGCATTTTGCTTGTGTCCTTAAGCAAAGCACTTTATCTTCATTTCTTCTCTCCACCCAGGAGTATAAATGGGTACCTGATGGGGTTGCCTTTTACAAGGGAAAAACTTACAGCACTTTGTAACTGAAAGCAAAAGTGCTATACAAGCAATAATTAACTAAGTATAAATAATTAAGTAGAGTATTTTGGCTATATTTTTAATAATATTACACAAAATTTCTTGATGTGTTATATCATCTAAATCAGTGGGTCTCAAACATTTTACTTGATGACCCACAAGTAAACGTCTAGGTAATTTGCCGCAAACCACTTTAAAGACCTTGATCTTGATCTCTGGTTCAATTCCATCTGCTGCTAATTGTTTTAGCTGGATCATCTCAATGAGATGTTTAACCTATCGGTCACCAAATGAATCCAATTCAATGCTATCTTTAACTGTATGAGATTAAAACCTGCCCATATTGACATATTTTGATTTTTATGGATTGCAGATGAATGCAGACTCGCATGTGATTCTGTGTGGTCAGATTTCACAGTACAATAAAGATGTTCCATATCCACCTCCACTACCCAAAGATATTGAGCAAATATTACAAGCAAAGAACATCACAAGAGATCGATTTCTAGTCCTCAACTACCAAGACAAGTTCTTAGAAGGAATAATGCAATTGGCCAGTTGGGTCAAGACAGGGCAGTTGAAGGTAAGAAGTGCTCTTTTATTGTAGCTTGGTATAAATGATAAAGTGTGAGAATGTTCTCCTTATGGACAGTGGTTAGATTTCAGTCATTTACCAACATAAAGATATGGTTCAAACATATATTTATTTCACTCTCATCCAACAGTAATTGACTTGCCACTTGCAGAAGCTCAGGCAGAGGCTTTGGCTAAGCTTGTGTCACTCTTGCGACTCAACAAGCAACTGCCTAGCAATTAAGAGCAATTCTGAGTCACAATTTGAAGCAACATAAGCGCTCTTCTAAATAGAAGCAATTGAAGAATTGCCAGTTGCTCCCATTTGTACATGTTCTATTCCCTGTGATCCAAAGCAACTCGCAAGCGATCATGTGACAGTAGCCTAGCTACTCCAGTCTGTTAACTGTGCACAGCTGCATGCACTACCAAAATTCAATAATATTAGTGTTAAATGGCAACTTGTTACAGGTAATCTACAGTCGGAAGTGACATAAGCACTCTGGGCAACTCGTTCTACATAATTGCTGAGAAGAGTCGCAAGGGTAAAAAAGCTTAGCTTAAGAAATTGAAATTTTTTTTTTTAATACTCATAAGCTTGTAATTCCTGTTTAAAGGTTTGCATGGTAAAGTAATAATATATTTTAATACTTGCGGTACACCACGAAGATAGTTCTGAAAAGAAGTGTGTTTGTTGAGAAAGTCTAGACTGAATTGCTTCAATCATCTGCAGAGAAACTAAACAGGGAAATATTTATATGTTTGCATAGTGAGAAATTGCTGCTGATTGGTGGAAAACTAAACAATAACTATGGTTCTTTTCTTTAGGTGAAGGAATCAGTTGTTCACGGACTTGAAAATTGTGGAGCGGCATTTGTATCAATGATGACAGGAGGCAATATTGGTAAACAAGTTGTACATATAGCTGATCTTTGATGTTCAAGTGTGTCAATCTGATCGGTAATCTGATTATTACCCCTCCCCATCTTTCGAAAACAGATCTGCGCCCTTGCCTACTACATCAAAAGATATACTGCTAGTCGAAAATTATGGGCCCCTGCTTGTAGAGAAGCGGTATAGTCTTGCCGTCTACGTATAAAGGAATGGCCAAACAGACACATCTTAAGTAGCATATTAGATACATAAAGAAAATATGGTCTCCAAACTTACTTAATATTATCGGATTTGCAAAAACACAAGCGTTGGTATTGTGGAAAACTGTGTTGTACCGTGAAATTCAAAAGTATAACTTCTTCTTGTACTGTGCAATTCAAAAGTATAATTTTTTCTCAAGTCGCAATAAAATGAGGTTAAAACGAAGAGCAAGATTTAACAGCAGTTAACACTAGGATGGACAATAATAGAGTGTTACCCCGAGACACATCCCAACTAACTCAAGTTACCTCAATTACAAGGCTCTCTGCCTTACGAAACATCTGGTAAACATATAAAGCCTAGCCGCTTGTATACACAAAACTATTTTTCTCCTTTACGTTCGAAAAATTTTCTTTATTATATTTCCAATGATATTAAAGTGATTGTTGTTTCCCTGTGTACTGTTTAAAAAGAACAAAACAAAAAGCCAGCTTCCTCTGTTACACGCAAAACCAAGCGCAAGTGGCTCTGCAGAACAAGTAGCAAGTCGGCGATGACCAGTCAGTCGTCCAGATACATGAAGATTTGAATGCCTTGTTCGTGAAAATATGCCGCTAGAGCCTTGACCACCCGAGTGAACACCCGCGGCGCGGTAGATACTGTGTGCTAAATGGCAGAATGAGGAATTGGAACACCTGGCTGTCAAGGCGAACCTCAACCAGCATTGATCCGACTTGCGGATTGTGATGTGGAAATAATCGTCCTTCAGGTCGATTGTAGCTGCCCAATCTCCTTTCTTCAGACCCATGAGAACGGTTGACCCATCCGAAACCTGCTGGGAACAATAAAAGGTTTTAGACACCGTAAATAGCCTCCCGTTCCGTGCCCAGGCCTCCTCACGTGCCGCAAACGAGCCAAAGAACAAATCATTAGCCTCAAACGAGGGAACTTCCAGAAAGCGGTGTTAATCACCCGGAGAGATGTCAGTCGCGCGGAGGAAGGAGGCTTACGTGACCGTGACGCGCCACCCCCGCAGACAACGCGATAGTTGCCTGTTGGTCGGCGATGAGCCCCATCACCTGCTGTAACGGGACCACGTCATCGTCTATTTTAGGGGGCGAACTGGATCAGCTAGGAAACTGAGAACGTAACCACAGATATTGACGGTGCGCAACGTCTCCCGTGCCTCGTGATCGTGAGACTGAAGAGCCTCTTCAGCCGTGGCCTGTGCCTTGTTCTTAAAAGTAGTCTTTGCGTTAATATCGAGGCCTTGGTCCTCACGAACTCCATCAATTTTCTTTTGTCTCTCATCAGTTCTTTCTTCTTTCATTCCATTTTCAACCTCAACCAAGTCCTCAATCAGCAGAGCTAACTTGCTATCAACAACCGAGAGACTGTTCTTACGTTTAACAACAGGTTTCTTTACAGCTGTATTGCATTGTTCATAATATAATTACAGATTACAGATTTGTAAAGGTATTCAGTAATTTAAATAACTCATTGTTTAAATTGATATTTATATATAGGTCCAAAATACCTTGTTCAATTTTCAATCAATGTGTAACTTTTGCTTTTTCTACTACAAACTTGTATTTTATATATAGTGATGTAGCCTAAAATTTTAAGTGTTTTTCAAATATTATGAATTTTGTAAAAATGATAATTTCACAAACAATACATATAAACATGGATTTACACTATTACTACTATGCAAGTCATGTGGCTACATACTGTAAATGCTTTAATTGAGAGTTTCTATTACCCTGTGTGTAGTGAAACACTTTGAGAAACAGGGTTTTACATATAATGTATACAGTGTTAAAATGAATAAATAACATAATAAAGACACAAGCATTTCTCTATAAACATTTATTTACGATGACATGACCTATGGTAATAGGTCTACGGGAATGTATGATAGGTAACATGGGATTTGGCATTTTTTTATAAGCTCCGTTTTCAATTAAGCGCCGCACTGAAGCCTCCAAAAATGTTATAAGCGTATTTGAGCATTTACGGTATGGTCACTCTGTTTATTGTGTATGTGAATATTTACAGTAATGTGTATGTTTTGAATGAGATCATGTGACGATTTGTAATGGGTTCATTATATTTAACTACTTTCTAGGTTTTACTTCTATACAACATATTTATTGTACAGAATATTTGTTGTATTCTGTGAGTCATCTTGCTTTAAGAACAAAATATTGTATAATAAAAATATATTAGATTGAATATACGTTTGTAAATATTGTATTTATTTAAATCGTTCTCAGCACCTTCTATTAATGTTCAACTCCAGTAGAATTACTTTTTTCTACCAGGTTGGGATCAATGAATCTTTATGATCACACAGTAACACACTTTGACGTTTAATAATTATTCATTGTAGTTCCACATTTATAGTGGAATTAAAGGCCGTTTATTTCCCTTTTATGTCTCTTGAAACATAACTTATGAAATTAAAGACTATTCAGAGGGTTTAATATGCCTTTGATATAATTACTCATCAATAGCTTGCAAAACATATAAGAGGGTCTACTACACGTCTATGTCATTAACTTATTAAATTATTTACTGCCTTTGACTGGCCATCTACATGATCACACAGTAACACACTTTGACGTTTAATAATTATTCATTGTAGTTCCACATTTATAGTGGAATTAAAGGCCGTTTATTTCCCTTTTATGTCTCTTGAAACATAACTTATGAAATTAAAGACTATTCAGAGGGTTTAATATGCCTTTGATATAATTACTCATCAATAGCTTGCAAAACATATAAGAGGGTCTACTACACGTCTATGTCATTAACTTATTAAATTATTTACTGCCTTTGAC